AGGCCTGTCTTCACTCATGGGCAATTATATGTGGCACTATCTAGAGTAAAGAGCAGACATGGATTGAAGATACTGATACTCGACGAAGATGGATGTGTTACAAATACTACTTTTAACCTCGTCTATAAGGAAGTATTTCAAAGATTACTGTAGTATACTTGGTTACTTCTACAAAGAGATAACATTGTTGTTTGTTATCAGGTAAGAACTCAATTTCTTATAAGAAAATATTTTTTAATCTTCTTTGTTGCATTGCTTTAGTTGTTATGCCTATTTTTCCGCTAATTTTTTTATTGTTATGCACATTCAGTATTCGAGGCACAATCAGTATTTTATTCCCTTGTCATTTTTCAGAGTCAAAGATTTTTTCATTGTAATTCTGAATTATTCATCTATAATGAACTATATAATTCCCTTCAATAATTTTTTCTTTTCCAATTATTGTTTATATATTGTTTATGATTCATTTCTAATAGGAGCAAATACCAATAGTGCATGGCGGAAGAGATTTTACAACTGTTGCGAGTATTGGTTGGGCAGATTTCTTATTATATTGCTGTCAACATGACATTTGCATTTTTTTATGGAGATTCTGCTATCAATTCTTGAATTTACTGTGTTTAAATTATTATATTCCTTTTTTGTTCCTACCTTAAAAGTTACACGTTTATGTCATACGAATAAACTGGTTTTTTTATTAATTCGTTTACGGGACAAACAAAACGACTTATTTTTTCTCCGTGCATCGCACGGGTAATCAACTAGTTTTAATATAAATGGGGTTGAATTTTCTCCCGCTAAAGGAATGGATATTTTTCTCCGAATGATACAACCAAGAGGGGTTCATTGTTTAAGAGAAGAGTAAATACTTTTTTTGGTTCTCAGCAAATTTTACGATGCCCGTTTTAGTCCCTAGCAAATAAAAAGGCTCATCGTGGTCCTTAAGAAATTCAAAATGGACCCATTTTAGTCTTTTTAGGGATTAATATGGGTCTTTTTTGAATTTGTGAGGAATCACGATTTCAACTAAATGAGACTATTTTGAATTTCTTAGGGACCACGATGAGCCTTTTTATTTGCTAGGGACTAAAACGGGCATCGAGAAATTTGCTAAGAACCAAAAATGATATTTACTTTTAAGAAAAAAAACAGATAAAGTGACTAGCGCGTATTTTGATTGCTGTACAGAAGAAAAAATTATTTTCCTATAACAGCAGACTTACATTTCCACACATATATATATATAAGGCTATATGAGTGCCAAGTCATTAGATATAAATATTTGTCCAGTCACTAAATCATAACCATATAAAGATAGATCAATGTTAAAAAAAATGAAAATCATAACCATTCAAAGATGAATCAACTAATATAAGAAAATAAATAAATAAAATGACGTAGTTTAATAGTAATTTGACCATCTCATGACATAATAAATAATATATATATATATAAGTTGAAAATTTTATATTAAATTTACTATAAATCTCTCTTTGATATAATTTTAAAAAATATATAAATCATTTAACTTTAAATTTATTTTTACTCAAAACTATTTTTATAAAATTAAAATCATTCAAAATGAAATTTACAAACATTCATCTAAACAGTAAGCTGATGACATTATTCTTATTTGTCCTGCTCTAAAAGCTGATGAGATCTTTTGGAAAATACTTAGGGGTGTATTAGATTGAGATTTTAAAGAATTTTAATGGATTGTTTTTGGATAAAAAAATCTGTTGGTATTCAATTAGGATTTTAATTGATTGAAAAAAGTCACGTGGTATTCGATTAGGATTTTAAAGGATTATTTTAGAATCCGTCCAAATCCGTTGGTATTCAATCAGGATTTTAAACAATGAAATCACAATCTCGTGGTATTCAAGAATTCAACGATTTTAATGGATTTTCTATTGGTGTGGATTTCGTGAGACTTTTTAGTGAAAAATATAAATAGGATACCTCTCTCACAATCTCACCCTAACCCCTAGGATTTATTGAGCTTCTTCCATTGCAGTGTTTTCTTTTTCCTTTAACAGGTTGACTGCTCGAAATTGGATTCCGTCACCGGAGCTTCATCAAACTAAAAAAAAAAAATATTTTTGAGCAATTTTCATCACAAAACAACCCAGAAACAACAAACCAACCAGATTTTAATATAATCTATCTCAAAAATAACATATTTTTGAGAAATTTTAGAATTTGAAAAGTGATTTTTCAAGCTATGAGTCGCAGTTTTTCTTGGCACAAAAACATGTGATTTTTGTATTAAAAATAACATAAAAGAGTGAAAAAAATAACAGGGAAAAAAACTCTTGAATCAATTTTTCTTTTACATCAATGAAAATATATCAATTTTAAGAAAGATTGAAACTTTCATAATACGAACCCTATATTTCGTAACAATACATTCATGAACGAAATTTCTTCACTATAGGAAATAATTTCAAATAATTTTTGTGTCAATAGATAACTAAAAGCTTGTTTCTCAAAAACTCCAAAGCAATTTAAGGTTTCAATGTATCGATTAAAAAAAAATTGAGAATTTTTTTAAACTTTCATGTAATTAAACCCAAAATTTCATATTCAAAATTTTCTTAGAATATTCAATGAAAATATGCATATGATATATGGTTAGAAAATTCTCATCACGTAAAACAAAAATCCCAAGATTTTCAAGATCAATTGCAAAAAAATTCCAAACGAAATTTTATCATGAACTTTATATGCAAATTTAGAATTATTTTTATAATTAAAAAAATTGGGTCTTATAATCATATATGCATAGCTTTGATACCAAATGAAGAAGATAATTTTTAACCCATTAGATATGTGAAAAGCTGTTGTTTAGTAATTTTGAATTATTGTTAAAAAATATATTATGTTTTACTGATTGAGAAAATTATATTAGGTTTTACTTTTTTTTATTAATTTCATTGTATTTCTTTGTTATTTTTTATGGGGAAAATTATACTTACAACCTATTTTTGTTTACAACATTTACAACCATATCTTAACCGTTGATTTCCGTCAATCAATTGTTATTATTTTCGTAAATCAAACTCATTAATTAATATTCAATTAGCAATGAATGATAACCTTTGATTGACGAAAATCAACGGTTAAGATATGATTGTAAAGTGTTGTAAACAAAAATAGGTATTAAGTATAATCTTTTTCTTTTTTATTGACTATTGTAATTTTGAATGTTTGTTAAAAATTCATATGGTTTTTTAAAATCTTCTAAATCTATATTGTCCTTTTAAATTTTATAAATTCTATTAAAATCCTTTAAATTTCTATAAATTCTATTAAAATCTTTTAAACTTCAATCTTATGAAATCTTGATTGTAAAAAAAATCATTTAAAAAAGTCTTTAAAGTCTCTCCAATTCTAAATATACTTTTTAAATCTATAAAATAATTTAACTCAATTTTTTTTTTTTAAATCTCAATCCAATACACTCCTTAATTTATTTCCAGCACTTTTTTTCTTCTTCCCAAAAGAACCACGAAGGTTAATACAAAAAGTGGAGCTCCGATTATCCAAAAAAACAAAAAAGAAGAAGTGGAGCACGACTCCACAAAGGGAGCGCTTTTTTAGCACATTCGATGTAACCATATCAGTACTGAAAAAAATTTCAAAATTTGATAAAAAAATACTTGGATTAAAATGTAGAAGTATTTCCAAAAAAAAAAAAAATGTAGAAAATTTTTCTTCTTTTAAAAAAAAAAATATGAGCTTTAGGAGTGTCAAACCGTCGGTGGACGACGCATGTGAAAGCCGATGTGAATCTATGACCTGAAATCAAAATGCTATAGATCCCAAAGCAACCCTAGCAAAACCAATAACTTTTCATTTTGTTCGAGTTGGACCACTATGCGTCATTCTTTAATTTAAATCCAAAGTTTTCAGTTCAGTAAATTGCACTGCTATCATACTGACATATGTGACTTTGAATAATTTGCATGATATCATATATTTAAATCTCAATATTATTATTGATCTGGATAAAATATAATAGGTTCATTGAAGGCCCAAGGACTTACAACGAAGCCCAATCTTATGAGGACCCAGAACTAAGCGCGATGACCGCCGTCGCGCATAACATGACGCGGTGCACCCATCGCGAATGAAACCGCCCAAGTAGCATAACTTCATAAGTAAGGAAGTTACCTCAAGAACTAATACGAACCTACCGCGCCTTTGTACTAATAAGTAGAAGACAGCACCAGCTCGCTACTACTCTAGCAGGGTAGCTTGGCAGTAAGAGATAAGGCTATCAAAGCTCTAGCCAAACCTGTAGTCCGAAAACGGTCAATCAGAGGCCACACCGCCTTCTCAATGCGACATCTCAACTATTATATAAGCAAAGGGTACAAGCTCATATATGATCATCTAATTCATTAAGAATAGACTTACACTTGCAACTGACACTTAAGCATTAGAGTGTCATCGCATGTACCCCGTCCAGTTTCAAGGATCGCGCTAACAAAGGATCATAGTCCAAATTCTATTATCAGCAAACTCAAGCCCAAGAAGAAGAAGTATCTTCACCACATCAACCGTGTGTGATTAGGCCCGATATACATTGGCTAGTCCATACTGTATTTAGTCTGATCAATTATTGTATTAATTTTTTTTTTTGTCAAAATAAAATGAAATCAAAGTCACTAGAATTGGTTTGAGAGTTTGGATAATTTGTATAGATCATAGATTCAAATCTTAGCACTCCTATTATATAAAAAATATATATATAAGTATAACAATAGAAAAGAATTGCAAAAAGAAAATGGCTTTGAATATAGCTTTTGAGGCCCAAATAAAAAAAAAGGGGGTCGTTGGATACTATGGTCAGGTTCAGCCCAGGCCATTTCCCAAATGAAACGATCAGAGAAAACAAATTTTTTTGAGGGTTTCGCTTTTTCTGATGCTGTGTGCAATTACAGAAGAAGACAATTAGGTGTGGCTCGGTTCCTTTTTTTTTTTTGTCGTTCATTTGAGCTGCAAAGCAAAGCCACTATAGTATACAGAACACTGCGCAAGGCAATTGTTTGGTTTTCATTGGAGTAGACACGTGTATACAACACACATACACGCACTACGCTCGCGGCTTCTCTTAGCCACGTTGCCCCTTCTACTCTTAACGTGCGCCTTTCGCCGTAGCCGCGACGGCACTGATGCTACCTTGTTCGATCCGATCGGCGAATCCCTAGTTCTCGGTGGTGCCGTCGCTCTCACTTCACATCCCAATTCCAATTCCAATTTCACTGAGCTCTGATAATAGTAATATGATCGTCAAATTATAGAAAGAGAGAAAGAATTCTAGATTGTGACGAAGAAGAAGAAGAAGATGCAGAGACGGAGTCCTCCCAAGCACAGGCACGATGGGACTTCGCCGCTGCCCCTTGGCATGGATTGGAGTCCTGCACCTCGAAAATGGGTTAGTTTCTTGTTTTTCTTATGCAATCATTGTTTTATTCACACGATTGTGCAGTTTTTGAATGAACGAGTTCCATCTCCTTCGATCAACCTCATTCTCCACTTTTTTTTTTCTCGCCTATAATTTTCTCACTTCGTCAGTGGCGATCGAGAGTTAATGACTTGAATAAAGTCATGTGATTGCTCCCTAGGTCTCTATTATCGTGATTTGATTGATGCGCGTGATCATGATGAACTGTGTTTTGTGAGCATCGTTAGTGTGGATTTGATTCAGTGTGTAGAGTCTGTCAGTTTAACTTTTTGATCACTTGGAGTTGGAGGCCATCTTGTTCCTCACCGAAGTTGATGATTGGATTTTCCTGCTCTGCTTCCAGTTTCTGAGACCTGCTTTGCTTTGTGCTATATTCATCACTTGTTGTGTATCTTGATATCGGTTTTTTCTAGTCATTTAGTATTAGGTCGTCAGTTACATTGGAAGAGTTTGTGAAAAAGGAATATTAATCCTATTGACTTTTGATTTTCTTAAATATATCATTAAATTGATATCACGTTTCTTAAGCTATATTTCGATGACTGGCAAGGAGGGAGAGGGAAGGGAAAAATGACTCAAATTATTGTTTGGAAGGTTTTAATTAGAGGACTGAAACTCATCTTATCTTGTAGAAAACTCTGCCATTTGATAATGGTTTTCAGAGTTTACTGGCGTTAAGTGGAAGTTATAGAGTATTGTCAAAGATGAAAATGTCTTGAAAACTTTTGACATTAATCCTTTAGTGAATTACAGGTGTGCAGAGAAAACCAAGCAATAGATTTGTATTTTCTTCGTCTCATAAGGAAGATAAATATTCAATTGTTTTGAAAATCTAAAATAGTCATATATTAGGATAAGTGGTGGCTCTTTGTCATAATTTTTTTTTTTCTTTCAATTTTGTAAAAAATTCCCTCCAATCTTCATTTGCCGATACAGACCCATCTTTTCTGGAGATGTTGTATTTTCTGGTATCGTAAGCTAACTCATCTTCCCTTTTCCATTTTCAGGTAATGTTTGATAGCTTGCATTCCTTTGACTTTCGTACAAGAAGAAATTGGATTCCTTTGTGCAGTTATTTTTTCTTGCCTTTGATTTGCTTTCTAATTCAGAAGTTCCTATTCTACAGAACGGGCGGGATACAGTATGGCCACACAATCATCATTCTGGTTGGAGTTATTGTGTCACATTACCTTCTTGGGTATTCCTTCCAAAATCAAGGAATTCAGATCCTATAGTGGTAAAGTTGATCAATGTCCAAATTTTCATTCATGGCCAGATTTAGGTGTTATTTTGTATCGTCTATCAGTTTTGGATTTGTTAGGACTAGGATTATGTGAACACATTTGATGCAAGTGGAAATTATCTTACACTCACAGCTTAAAAGTTTTGTTTAAATAGTGTGATTTGTAAAGTGACACTATAATATGGAAAGGGTGAGGAAAGTAGTGAAGAAATTCATCCTATATTTTAAGATATGTGGTGAGAGAAATGCACAAAAGTTAATTTACATAAATTTTAAAATTTAAAACCAAATTATAATGTTTGACCGGCTTGGGAGTTTCCTGTATAATGGTATACATGTGATTCTATAACTCTGAATTTGAGAGATGCAACTGTAGAGTGATTTTGTTCTCTTTCTAATTGTTGTGCCTGGTCTAACCACTTCAAGTATTATGTGGTCAATGACTCTGTTCATATCAACCACAAAACTTTCTAATATCAAGACCATCCTTGCATCTTTTTCTCTGTGTGCCAATGGTTAGAATTGTCTAATGTTGCCACCATTATTTTGAGAATATTACATGGGTTCTAAGTGCAGCATTTCTTGTTATGGTCATGTTCTGCATCCCTAATTTGCTTTCTTGAGTTCTTCATTAAGTTTGATGGGATGCATTTGCTTCTAAATACAAAAGGGGACAATTTTACCAAACGTCGCAACCTGCTGGGTTCATTTTTGCTGTACCATCTTGTGTTTGTCATTGTCTCTTTGTCAACCTTAATACTCCATTGCCAGTCAACCTGCTTCCACGTAGTTGTTTCTTTCTGTTATTGGTATAATTAACAGTATTTAGTTTGTGTATCAAAATTAATGGGATCCAGTGCTATAATGTCAGTTCCTGAAAGGAATCACTAGCAGGGGGGATAGCACTAATTATGAAACTACTAAAGGGGATCCAAAAGTTTAAATTCAAATAACATGATTGTAAAGTCAAACCAGGACATATGCTTGTTAGTGTTCATTTTTAACATCATCAAGGGACAGTTCTACAGGCTTCAAGTTGGTGTACAGTCACCAGAAGGGATTACCAGTCTCCATGGAGTACTAAGAAGATTCAATGATTTTTTAAAATTGTTTGCCGATGTAAGTTTATTCTTTTCAGCTGCATCTTATTTATTTATTTGTATTTTTGTTTTTTCAGTGTACTTGTACTTCAACCCTGGTTCTAAAAATTGTGAATTCATTCAAGCATGAGCGCATATATATATTGATTGACACCCATTTTAGTTTTTAACTCTTACTCTAATTTTAGCCATTGATTTATTTTAGTGCATAAAACCATTTCAATTTATTGTAGAGTGTGACAGTAATATGGGATAGAAAAAATATTTAATGAAGAAACACTTTAACTCATCCACTACTCTCTTATGGGGGTCTCTCTTCATGAAGTGAAGACAAGCAGGAAAAGATGTCAACAATGGTGGAAGAGTCCACTGGCTGTATCCATCTCTGCTGCCTTTAAAATTAATATAGGATGAATCACCCTTGTTCTGTTTTGGTAAATAATGAAGCACTTTTACTTTGTTTAGTAAATGATGAAACATCCTTTAACAAATATGCAAATGGCTCACTTATTAAGTTACTTTTTAGACATGATAGGAAGGCAAATTGAAAGATGAATAAGCATATAGATTCAAGAGTAGTATATTCAATTGACAAAACTAATAAAAAATGTATCAACAATCAAGTGTAGCGTGGAAGTTTCTAAACAGGAAATCTTGCCTCTAGAAAACTGTTATTGAAGTTCCAAATTTGGAACTGAACCAGGTATAAAAGAAAATCAATATTAACTTTTGATGTGGGAAACGGACATGGATGGGAAGTTTTGAAAATAGTATCCCTTGCAATTAATGGACAGCATTGATGGCTTCACAATACATGTCCCAAAATTAGGGAAGCCTGTCCTCTTGTGTGTGTGTGTGTGTGTGTGTGAGTGATAGATAGAGGTAGATAAATGTTTTGCTTCTGTGTCTGTGCTTATTTAGGTTACACTGATTTGTAGACTATTTTGCCACATGCTGTCTTTGTAGCTTAAAAAGGAGTTTCCAAAGAAAAATATCCCTCCAGCTCCACCCAAGGGACTCTTGCGATTGAAAAGCCGAGCTTTGTTAGAAGAGGTTGGAAATGTCTAAACTAATTACAGTATCAATTGTTGCATCTTTGGCATTATGGATCTGCATATGTCATCTTGCTTGAATTTCCTTATTATAATCTATTTAATTACAGGTGTTAATGTGTTATAAAACCATACATGGCCTAGATGCATAGCAACTGTAGATTACTAGCATGTAGAAATTTAGGTAAAGCATGTACATTTTGGTTACTAATGATCAAATCTGCACAATCTATTTCTTACCCTCATATGCCCCTTTTAGATTCGTGTTAAATAACATGCTTACAATCCAATCACTGCTTCTTAATATCTGCCGTTGTCTTGTCAAAATGGGCTACATTAATGTATTTACCAAAAACAATGAAACAATTATTATAAAAAAACATAAGAGTATGTCTTCTCATGCTCCTGAATTTCTATACAGGATATTTCACCCTAGAGCTAGTTAAATTTTTTAACCAAATCCTTTCATTCAATTCCCCCTCTAACGTCTTAACTATCTGCTCTTCTCTTTGATCTAATAACGAGAACAACCAATGTTTTGTATGATTGCAACTAGATTAACTTTTCAGCATGAATTTTAGTTTGAATAAATAATAAATTTGCAGAGTTAATTTATATCTGTAAAGCCTTATATTTTTATTTGGTTATTTAACAAATATTTGTATTGGATTAGGATACTTGTAGAATTATTGGGACATAAAAAATGTTGATAGAAAACTACCTCCATGTTTCTTTATTTTTACAGAGGTATTGAGATTACAAGTTATTTATTAAGAGTTTCCTCTAAATATTAGTGTAATGGGTTTCTTAATTATCATAGGTAATGTTGACTACCTGAACCTTAAACAAGATTGTTTATATGTTTCAAGACCTGTGCTATCTACAGTAATTTGGACAACTGGACAGGTGGCTCCATTTTATTTTAGGCGGACGTGCTTAAATTTTTTTTAGATTGAGCCATCTGTAGAGTTGTGTGCAATTGTGAAAGCAAGAGTTGAATAGGCGGCTATAGATTTTAAGACATTTTCTTTGCTACAGAGAAGGTGCTCTTTGGAGGAGTGGATCACCAAACTATTGTCCGACATTGATATATCAAGATGTGCTGCAGTGGCATCATTTTTTGAGCTAGAAGCTGCTGCTAGATCTTGTATGTGACTGTCTTTTGCATCTTGCATTTAGTTGCCTCATATGAGTCTGTTTAGTCTGTTTTATGCTAATTGATTGTTAGCTTCCCAAAATTTGATATTTTATACTTTGTTTAATTACTTCTCAGCATTCCAAGATGCAAGCCAGCAGAGTTCAGAATCAGATCCTGATTCTAATAACAGAGTTTATTCAGTGCAATCACCTCTCCATTCGAGCTTATCATTAGTTGCTGGCAGTTCATCTGTTGCCTCAGATTATGGTAGTGATACTGCATATGATCCATCTGAACTAGGAACTCCAAGAATTGGACGGGACGATAATTCTGAAATTGCCACCGATGATCTAACATTAGATGAAGAAATGACAAATCCAATAGAAAAGCTTGTGAAATATGGCATATCAAATATTGACGAGGGTTTGTTTATGGGTCAGACTATTCTAGAGCAATTGGAAGGCCTTCCTAAGCATAAAGTAAATGCCAGACATGTGAACTACGTTTCAGAGAAGGACAAAATTAATGGTAATTCATATAATTCTTCACTTATGGCCAATAATACCATGGAGCTTTTCTCAGAGCCTGAGCATGCTAAGGTTATTGATCACATTCGTAACTTTTCAAATGAGAGTGTTGGAAGTGATGGAAGCTCCATACGAGGTAGTGACATGTCTAATTCCGGGATTCCAAATTCATCTGGTGATGGCGTTCTTGACCTTCCTGGAGGTGCTTTAGTTTCAAGAGAAACGGATATTATGGGCCAGACGAAGTTGAAGTTTACAGGTGATGCTCAATTAGTGCTTCCACTAGATCAACGCAATAAATTGAACAGGATTCTTTCAACCATGCAACGAAGGCTGGTCACTGCAAAAACTGATATGGAGGACCTTATAGTTAGATTAAATCAAGAAATAGCTGCAAAGGATTTTCTTGCAACAAAGGTATATGATCTGGCATGCATTTCCTTGTAAATTAATTCTTATGTATAGTTGACCTGTATCTGAAATTGGTTAGAGCCCACTTGAGTAGAAGATAAATATATCTATAATATGTGGAAATCTATGGATTCTTTATGGTTCCACGACGTGTAAACAAGTTCATAATTTTTATAGAGATTAATTGTGTCCATAAATTATTGGATCTGTTCAGGTCAAGGATTTGGAAGTTGAACTTGAAACTACCAAGCAGAAAAATAAGGAGAACTTGCAGCAGGCTATTCTGATTGAGAGGGAAAGGTCTACCCAAATGCAATGGGATATGGAGGAACTTCGACGTAAGTCAATGGAAATGGAGATGAAACTAAAGTCTGAATCGGTATGACATTCTTGCATTTGTTTCTACAGAAGTTAAACTTTTCTCTTTGGATGACTCTTTGATTTCAATAATGGCTCATGACATGATCCCAGGGTGGAAACTCAAGTCATAAATTGACAAAGGAATCAATTGTTCAACAGAAAGATGAACTGTTGCAGAATTTAGATGCTACTAAAAAGCAGCTGGAAATTTTGTCAAAACAGTATGGAGAGCTAGAAGCAAAATCCAAAGCAGATGTTAAAGTTCTGGTTAAAGAGGTCAAATCTCTCCGTAATTCCCAAACAGAGTTGAAGAAGGAACTTAGCGAGTCTATTAAGGAAAAGTGTGAAGCTGAGGTAGGCTACCAGTTTGCACATATCATATTTTGCAGGATGTTCTTCATCTTGACAGTTCATATTTTTGTCAAACTTTTATCCCAAAAAATATGCTTTCTCAATTTACTTGTCTTTTTTATTCTAAATTAATATAATTCTAACATTATGTATTTGGTGGTATGTAACACATATTCTTCATTTGACTGTCCTTGCTTTCAAATATTGCTATAGACTTTACTTTCCTCTTATTTTGAATTTATTTATTATGGTATGCGTTTATATGTTTTCCTTTCCTTTCCCGAGCTTTTCTATATAATGTCTTTATCTCTTTGTGTGAAGTTATGTAATGAGCAGGACATAATCTTGAAAGCTTAAATTTTCTAGTAGCAATTGCTTCCTCACCGTTCCACCATAATGTTCTTCTTGTATGATATGTGGCTATGGACCCTGAATGCATGGCATATATGATGATGTTATACTTGTGTTTCTCGTGTATCTAGAAACTACTACTTCACGAAAGAGAGAAGAGGGAGCAGGCAGAAACTGATTGGAGAAAACTGCTGGAGAAATGCAGGCTTCTTTTCAACCAGCTTCAAGAGTGCAATGTCAATCTTCCTAATGAAGATGAAGATAATACAATCATGAATTCATCATCATTAACTGATGCTTTTAATCAATTAACAACGTCTGATGACCAAATTGACATCCTACTAGCAGAGGTACAAGTTATATATTTCCTGTTGCTTTCTCTGTTTTTACCAGTTAAGAGTTTAGCTGTAACTATTTTCAATGCAACACGTTTAGAAACAATCTCTTCTATCTTGCAAACCCCACCATAATAATTACGGATCTTATTTAAATTTGATCAGGTAGAAAACTTAGGGAAGGACTGCGGAAGTGATGCTTCCAATGTAGATAAAACCAATGATATAAAAGATGGTGTAATCTGTGATGATGAACTGAGAAAGATCGTAGCAGATTTGTTCATCGACAATGTTAGATTGAGAAAACAGACAAACCGCGTTACAAGGCATGCTCTCAAATTGGACATGACAGCAAGTGATGATTCTCCTTCAATGGAAACTGTAGCTAGTATTTAGAAATATTGTGAAATGGTAATATATATTGTTCTTCCACTTTTGATCAAGGTCCCAATGTTTCTCATCCTGGTCGATGATCATTTGCTGTTCGTATTTGGTAAGTTAATCTTATACTGAATGCAGTAGATCCCCGGTGTAATTTCCACTTGTACGAGTTTTTACTTTGCACACATATACGAAGCCTTTACCTCGCACCATTTTTTTGGGTGAACTTTTACTTAAAATAATAAAAAGGTGGAACTCACCAAAGGTAAATTTATGTTTGCCCTTGCCCTTTTCTTTTTCTTCTCTATTTTTGTAAAGTAAAAAGGGCATTTTGTCGCTTTGGTTGTGTAGAGGCAATCGCATTCGCAGCAGTGTTCTTCGCTATTAGCCTATTATCCTTTGGTTTAGGCAATGGCAATCTCACCTGACATGTAGATACCACCCTGCCCCACCATGTATAAGGAGAGTTAAAAGCTTGCCGCAATGTTGTCTTACACCCTTATTTCTTAATGAAATCCATATTTGTTTTAGTTTGTAAAATGGTTAATTATATATATCCATATGTTATGTTGTCATGACAAAATTTAAAGAAAAAACAAAAGGAATACAATGCTATTGTTATGACGGAAATGGATTTATTTTATTTTATTTTTATCGTTCATAATACAACTTGCATGATCATATTAGGTAATGGATTTTTATGAACCATAGCTTGTCTTCATGGCTTTTACAGTTATTATGATTATGTTTCTGAGATGTTATATTAATTTTAAAATTATGATTAATTATTATATAGATTTATTTAAAATAATTATAAGTGCAGTATCACGGGCAGGGTGAAAGTTTTGTTCTAAGCAAGGAGGGCAACAGCTCTAGGCTTTCCTAAAAGATCTTTATAAAACATATGCGATAAAATTCACCCCTACCAGCCACTGCAAGCCTAAATCTGTTTTGAAATTAAACTTGTTCCTGCTGAAATATGGAATTAATATTTTACAATGTCGTAGGAGATAATTTTATATATATATATATATATATATATATATATATATATATATATATATATAAGGTAGGAACCTTTGACACCGGTGTCAAATTTCAAATTTGACACCTCATTTGTGAGTCGTTAGATCAAAAAAGATCAACGACTCTGATTTGTAAGCCTGTGACACCGTTGATCTTTTTTTATCTAATGGCTCTCAGATGAGGTGTTAAATTTGAAATTTGACACCGGTGTCAAAGGATCCTACCTATATATATATATATATATATATATATATATATATATATATATATAGGCTTTAATGTTTCTAAAAAGTGAATATAGATAAGTTATTTATATTCGTTCTCAAAACGATGTCATTTGGAGTTGAAAAATTAAAAAAATTATAATGAAAAAGACTATTATAATCCTGAAATAAATTATAATTACAAAAATACCTTATTTTGTCTCAAAATGACGTAATTTTGTTTATTTATTTTTTTATATCAATTGATTCACCTTTGAAAGGTTATGATTCTTTTTTTTTTCTCTTTTTTCATTACTATTGATCCATCTTTGTACGGTTACGATTTAGTAGCCGGAGATAAAATTATCTTAAACAGCGTGAGAAACGATAAGTCCTATATATATATATATATATATGTGTGTGTGTGCGCGCGCAATTTATTTATTTTTTTTCTTTTTTCTTTTCACCTAGGTTATAAACACGTTTATATGTATGGGCTTTAAGTATTTTTATGTGTGTATAAAAAATTATGAGAATCATTAATCTGTTGAAATATTTGGTGAAATAATCACAACATCGATATAAGATATATTAATTCGGCCCAAGAAACAAAAAGGTCTGATTCAATCTAGCTACTCATAAAATATTGCTCATGAAGTTTGATCTTTCTTGATCTCATGTAAACTACATTAAAGCTATAGTTAATAGGGAGGATGATGGTAATTAAAATTCCGATTTAAATCTGTAATTTTATGATTTTTTTTAATGATAACGATTTCATTAAAATTCCAAATGCTTTTACTATTTTTTTTATATTAGAATTTTACGATTTACGATTTTTTATCCTCTTTCCGATTTTAGGTAGAATCTTAATTTTAAATATCATGGGGAGAATTATGTTTATAAATTTTTTGTTTACAAATTTTTATAAACTACATTATGTTCTCTCGAAAGTACACTATGTACTTTCGAAAGTACATACTGTAATTTGTAAAAAAAGTTTGTAAATAGATTGTTCTCCATAGTTAATTGAAAAGTTTCTAAAAAAGTAAATTCAATAAAATAGACTAAAAAATTAAGCATTTTTTTAATTTGAAATTATATTTTTTATTTATAGCCTATTGAATTATCAATTGATATTCCATGTCTCTTAATTTTCATTTTTTCAAAAAAATAACAATAAATATTTAAAATGAAATATTAATAAATAAAATAAAACTAAAAAATATTTGAGGATAATTGCAATTGGAGAATAACAAATATTAATAATTTTTTGATGTTTATTTTTAAAATTTTAAATGATCAGTTAAATATATTATAATATTTTCCTTTTTAATTTTTTTAAACACACTAAACGTATAATTAGTAATAATTCTAAGAAAAAATAAATTTACACACCAAAGGAATTCGTTTATAATAGTATATATATCATCAAAATCTAATACTCATTTGATTGAAACAAAACATTGTGGGCTGCCGGGATGTTTCTCTCCAGCATTACGAAGAAAACATCTCTTGTGATGTCTTCATTAATTTTAGATTATAATTGTATAATCTTATAAGTACAAAAATAAATTCATGTTATGAATATGAAAATAAAACTCCTTTATATTGAGATTATCTCTAAAATACACAAATATGCATTTACCCTTAAATTTTAGCGATATAGTTAACTCAAAAAAAGAAAGTAAATTATTATTATTATTATTATTATTATTATTATTTGTTTACTAAATATAAGTGTCACCACCGCTTTGGCCCTTTAAAATTTTTCACATAAATCTAGTTCATTAATAATATAAAATGTCATCAACTTAATTTTTCAACCATGCTAAATATTATTAAATTAGTCTCAAAATTAAAGATTTGTTACTCTCCTTTAAAAAAAAAAAAAAAAAGCCAATTCCATGACACTTTGATTGAACAAATAAATTGATGACTATTTTCTTCAAAGACTAAAATGATTATTTCAATATTTTTGGAGCATAAGAGGAGTTTACTTTAAAAAAAATATTTATAAAAAACGGGAGAACTGTATTAATCATCCCTATGCACAGTGTGCCTGGTGGCATGAACCACAATATTGAAGATAGAATTATTTCCGAAAAAGAAGAAGAAGATAGAATTATTTCTTAGTTGATGACGGATTCACAAAATTATGAATGTGATGTGACGTACTACGTACAGTGTGTTGGATTACTGTTTATGCAACCAAACTTCCGTTCAAACACTAGCAAATATAATTTTCAGTGAAATCAACTTGTTTGAATGTCTCTTTTTAAACTTGCTTTTACATTTAACATCCATTTTTTATGTCAAAGTTTATTTTTAAGTAAAGGTATCCAAAATACTTTCACCAAAAAGAAAAAAAAAAAGTATCCAAAATACAACTTGCCTCAATTTAAACTCATTCCAATTTTATAGAATCAATATCATCTAAAATCAAATTTAACATTTACCAAAAAAAAAAAAAAAAAAAATTAACATATCTATTTTGGAAATGTCAAATCGGATTTGATTTTTAAAATCTCACGAATTTCATTACTTTTATTTAACAAGTTTTAAAAAAATTGGAAAAAATTAATTTGATTTTTAATTTAATATATATATATATATGTATATGTATATACACTTAAAAATCCTATTTAATAAAATGAAATCATATTAATTCCACATTCAATGAATTTCAAACATAAGATTTATTTGAAACCAATTCAAATCTTATTCTTTATAACAAATTCCAAAAAAATAAATTAATTTTCTATGAACACGAAATAAATCAAATCATTTCTTTATTCTGAATATTCCAAAAATAATAAAAGAAAAATACTAGGTAAGTAGAATTTGTCATCTACATTATTTTCATTTATTTAATTACTACCATTTAATCTTTGATAATTTATTGTTAAATTGTGTAATTTTTCTGTTCCATTTAGCTACTTGTTAAAGACTACACTCCAATAATTTTTCATTCATTTTAAGCCAATCTTCAGATGTTATTTCAATCTTTTGATTTAAAACTTGAAAGAAAAAAATGAGGCTTTCAATTAACATTTTAATGCCAGAAAAATCCATCCATCCCTTAATTGTTCGAAACTGATAGCCTAAGATGTACAACAAGATAAAAGATATGAAGGGGAACAATTTCCATGATGATCTTTGCGTCTGAAAACAACTCAATCAGCCGAAAACTTAAGGATCACGTTATGGCTTGTGTTTCTCAGATGAAGCGTCCTTTTGTATGTCAGCCGAAGAAGAATTAACATCACAACTGCATCAATGTATATAAATACATTTAGAGAACTCCATGCATGATTAATAGAGGACAATCTTGTAAAAGTCTAACGAAAATAAAGGAGGATAATACCATAAAAGGGTAGAATTAGTGAGAAACAAAGAAGCTAAATTTTCATAGGTCTTTTCAATGGGTAAAAGCAACTATGTTGCGGCACCCATATTAGTCCCTAGTACAAACCAAAAGACAGAACCAAACACAGGAAGTCTAGGAAGGTGTCATTGTTTTTTCTTTTTCTTTTTTTGGCGAGTTATTTGGGTGCACTAGTTAACTGAGGAGCCAGTTACCACCTTTTGATAAAAAGGTGTCAGTAGGACTCAAAAGCCATCAAATAAAATATAAAGATATTTGAGATCTGTTGATGACATTGTGAGACCATTTTATGCAACCATTCTTTCAAATGTACTATCAGAAGAATTTCCATTTCAGGACATAGTGGCGTACCTCAAAAGCATTTTTTTCTACTTGACGCGGCTCCACAAGAACATAAAGTGGCTTTCCGATAAGCCTGCACTGTCCCTGAAATAGAAGGCTTAATTTACCTTTTATTTCCATGACTTCAAGAAAATAAGAATTTAAAGGAAGGGAAAAAGAAATCATATATTACAGAACATTGTATCCAGTGATCATATAAAAAGAAATTACAATATGGTAGCTCAAAACCCAGTAACAACAAATACATTTGCAGCTTTCAAGGAGGAGCTTAGTCAAAAATTTTTTTAACAAAAGCTCTATTATAAAAAGAGGTTTTTTATAATGAATAAAAAAGAAGCTAAGAGCTAGGAGCTTTCTTTAAGATATATGTCATTTTTTAAGAGTTTTCATATTTATTTTTTAATTTTACCCTTATTCTAAATTTATATTTACAATTTTTACCCTTTACCCTAATAACAAATCATTTCATCTCCCTAAAACAGCTTTTCTATAATCACCAAATAATGTTTACCTTTATTTTTTAAACTCTTTTTTCTAACTTGAGTTTAAAATTAGCTTTTAGCTTAAAAAATGCACCAAACATGCTCTAAAATCTCATATTTCACAATTTTTCAATATTTAAAAAAAAAATCATGTTATCTTAAAGGAAACTATAGATGGTGGATATACTGAAATTCTCGTATAACAAGCAAGATACTGCCTCCGTATACCAATGGATATTTACGCACAAAGTTTCTTGGAGAAAAGCACTCATCAGAACAGTTCATCTATTAAGCACGTGATCCTCTTGAATGTAACAACCGTGTGACAGACTAACTGCACATAGTTAGTCTTTAGCTTTTCTGTTATCACTTAGTTAGATCAGATAGTTAGTTGAGCCATTCTTTATGTGTATTTGAGACTGTATAAATAGGTGAAAGGTACTATGTATGTAAAGAACCAATTCAACCCAAAAACTTAAGCTGTTGGGTGAGGCTACATTAATGGTTTTATATATCTCAACATGCCCCCTCACACGAGAGCCCACTGGGCTTGAAGAGTGGACAATGCACAGGCCCACCTACCTGTGCGAAGAAAGAAATTCCACTTGAAAGAAAACAGGGGGCGGCGAGGATCGAACTTGGGACACGAGGCTCTGATACCATGTAAAGAACCAATTCAACCCAAAAGCTTAAGCTGTTGGGTGAGGCTACATTAATGGTTTTATATATCTCAACAATGTATCAGATCAGTAATTCGTTTGGATGCATGAAGAACGGTTTAGTAGGATTGGTATGAAAGTCAGGCAGCACTTGTGATGCCATGGCTGGTTGTGCCACCATGGTAGGTTGCTCCCCTGTGGGATCTTGATCGGCCATTGAAGAAGATGAAGAACTTTATGAAATCACTCTTTTTCTCTCCTGCGATACCAGAGCTCCAATTCAGAGCTCTGATACTATCTTGATTTTTCTGAAGTATTTATTATTCGAAAACTGATCTGATACACAGCACCTTTCACCTATTTATACAGTCTCAAATACACACAAAGAATGACTCAACTAACTATCTGATCTAACTAAGTTATAACCTAAAAGCTAAAGACTAACTATGTGCAGTTAGTCTGTTACACGGTTGTTACATTCAAGTTCACATTGCATGAGCATCACGTGCTTAATAGATGAACTGTTCTGATGAGTGCTTTTCTCCAAGAAAATTACAAGCTATACGAAAAGTTAGCTAGCGGTAGACAGGGAATAAATCATGCATTTTCAATAACAATGAAATTTTTGCTTTCTTGCTTGAAAGAAAGATAAACGTAATACCAAATATTGTATTAACCATAAGCACATCTTTTATAAGAGTATAAATTGGCCCTCGTGATCATAAATCAACCCAGCAGACAGAACAACCAACATTATCAGTTCATTTTAACCAAATTGACAAGGGACTGATAATGTACAATAAGTTTGAAGTCCAATAGACTATCAATATGAGAAACACCACACGAATTGTGATTTTTGGTTAAGAATTTTTAGCTTTTGGATTACCGATAACAAGATAGATTAACTAGAAAAACAAGCATAACTTACAAAAGCTTAGTCATTACCTTAACCTCAGGCACACCAATCACACAAGCACATTCCACTACTTCAGCACCAAGACGTTCTACAAAATAAGTTGGAAAATAAAACATATAATACACTTGGGACCACATACATAGAACAATCATGAGTGAATTAAAGAAACAAGAGAAAAAGAGAAACAGTAAAACCAAGTACAAAGACTGCAAATCACCTAGAAGTCTTATTGCTGCAGATAGAGTACCACCTGTGGCCACCAAGTCATCAATAACTATGGCCCGTTCACCGGGCTGGACAGCTCCAACATGCAGCTCCAAACAATCAGTTCCATATTCTAGAGCATATTTTTCTGAAATTACTTCACCTAAACATGAGGTATGTCAAAGTTTAGGCACAACGTCAAGGCCAAATTCAGCATTGGGACTAGTAATTTAAATAGAAAGCTCCAGAACTCTACAAACTTTAATTTGAAATTAAATCAAGATTTTGTTCCAGCCATTGGTTGGAAAGATTTAGGGCATGATTTGAATATGCATATACAAGTGTGCCAGCATGTGCACGGGGAAGGGGATTTGAAAAACAAGTTGGAACCTGATCTGTAAATAACTTTGATTCTATCCATAACAGAGATAAGTATCACTTATAAATTTTTAATTAAATTTGGTGGAATCAATTTGAACTTTTAAAAATGGAACAAGAATGAGAACATAATAAGCTTAAAGAAAGCTGGGATTTCTTTACTCATTCATTGTGATATATAGATAGTAGCTTGGATTAGTAATTATGACCTGGTTTTGATGGGTGATTTTTCAACTTATAAACGTACCTGAGTTATTTCATGCTATAAGCACTTACAAGGCATTATACATCATGAAAATAGCCATTGAGCTTAAAAGTTCTTTCCGTTTATTCTAAGGTGCTTGTGCTTCAATGTTTAACATATGAAAGTAAGCTGAAACTTAAATTACTTCTTTTTGGATATGCACTTTACAATAAATTATTATAAAATCCCTACTATATAGTATACAATCTATTCAAATTAGGCCTCTATTAGTAAGATTTAAAAAAAAAAAAAAAAAAAAAAGAACGCAAGAGCAGGGCCCAAAAAGATAAATTTATCACCACCCCGTGCAATTCTTGGTGCACCAAACTGTAGAAATGTTGAGAAGATTGCTCAATCCAGATCAGGAACACCAATAAAAAGACAAGCTAAGCAACAGTACCACCACATACATCTATTTCACTTACAATAATGATTCTATATTCGTAGAGCACTTCGAAGCTTGTTTGGTATCTTAAATTGAATATTTATATGGCATTTCACACGTTCCTCTTAGATGTTTGAGTTTATCTGTTCTAATCAGTCAAACAGGAAACATGAAATTGGAGCCAATTGACTTTAGGCGATGTAACACCCACTACTAACAGAATAACACATTAATAGGACAAGGTCTTTCCACTCAGTGAGGGCCGTCCCATTCCACAGAAAGTGATCAATTCTGCTGTTTTCGCCAGGGTTTGGTACTTTAAAGTTTCAACTTATATTGGTTAAGAAGCAATTTCTAAATGAACGTGACAAAATTATACCTGGCAGCTTCCGAGGTTTGCGTAAAGGAACAAACTTTGCACCAATGCCCAAAGCAATTGAGGGACCAAACAGGAATCCCCTTGCTTCAATTCCTACATGTAATCCAATCACATTAGAACGCAAACCAACCAAAGGCAATATCCTCTAGTAATAGCTCATTAATATAAACCCTCATAAAAACCCCCATTTCAGATCTCATCCAGCGGATGGAGATGCGACATTGGTTAGAATGACAACAGTGTCTGAGTTTGTTTTCTAGAAGAGGTTATTACAAGACACATATGTGGCCTAAATATCATCTTATCTATAAAAAATCGAAAACAGAGACCAAGAAAATATTTTGAATGGTACGAAACGGAACCCACAACCTACCTCTCAAAAACAAAAAAAAGAAAAGCAAATACTCTCAGTTCTTACCAAAAAAATAAACGAGCCACGAAAATCAAAATACAAGTAAACCCCCCAAGAAAAAAAAGTTGGAGATAGAGAAAGAAGAAAACGAATGCGAAACATTTTTTAAGGAAAAAAGGGAGAAAAGTGAGAAGAAATTGCATTTAGAGAAAGGGAAGCCATACCTATTTCCAAGTTTCTAGATCAATTGCGTTTAAAGAAGACCAAAATGAAACCCAATAAACGATTTAAGTTTTGAAATAAAAGAGACAAGAAGCAAGTACAAACTCGGATCTCTTTCTGCGGGGAAAAAGAGAAAGCTTGGTGCTTTTATCAAAACCCCATTAATTTTTTGCTTCAACTTCTGAAATTTATCTTTCTTTCTTTTTTGTCCTCAATACAAGAAGCAGAGGAAGAAAAAGAAAGGTACCCAAATTATGCTTTTTTTTAAAAAAAGTAGTAGCAGACGTGTACCAAAAAAAAAAAAAAAAAGTAGTAGCGGACACGAGGGATGAGAAGCTTAGAGTAGAGTACAGTACAGTACCGGCAACAACAGAAATGTGCATGTCTCTGTAACGATCGACAAAAATGTCGACCGTGTCTTTAAACGCCTTGTGATCCAACAACAATGTCGTTATGTCTTGAAACATTATTCCTGCAAAATTTCATCACCCCTCATTAATTTAATTGAATCCATAAGAAAGACAAAAAAAAAAAAAAAAAAAACACCCAACCCATTTTCAAAACTTAAAAAAATAAATAGTTGCAGATCTGTTCGATAAAAGTTCAAAAAGAAACTGCAATAACAAAACAAGTCCAAAGCAGAGACACCGAACGAAGCATTCTTAAAAAAAGAGAGAGAGAGAGAGAGAGAGAGAAACCTTGTTTTGGGAAGTGAGGCACCACTCTGATGGCTTGGTATATTGCTTGCAACCTTGGGTCTCCCTTGAGGCCATTCTCTTCGGCGAACATTTTGTTGTGTGGTGTACTTTACTGTGTTTGTTTGGTTTGAATGAGAATGAGATGAACCAAAATGTTTGTGTTGTTTGTTTGAGGAAAAGACAAAGTTGCTTTGCTTTTTCTTGTGTTTCCCTCCGAAACAGAAAACTCTTGTTTCTATGGGAGAAGATCAAATTGTTTGGTTCCGTTTCATTTAACTTTTAAAAGTATCGCACTTCGAGCTTATTTTCCAGGTCACCCTAGCTAAGCACGTTGTAACATCACCACGCGATTTTCTATCATCTATGTCACGCGCTCTTCATTTTCATAAAAAAAAATATTTTGCTAAGGTTATTTTTATTTATTTAAAAATTTATAGTAAAATGATTCTGTTTTGGTGTATATTTTTTAAAAAATTTTATAATTTCCTTATACTTTTATAAAAAAAGATATAAAATATTATTATTTTACTTAAAATGACATGAGATTATATTGTGAAACATTTTTTTTCCTTTATTTAAAATTAAAATACTCAAATTGTACCCAAAAAAATGTGTCACAATGGTGTTACCTTATAGTCATTTTTGAGTCTATACATTTATTTTAAAAGAATTAAGTATCTAATTGATTTCCACATCATAGGGAAATTCAAATTATGGGCCATTTTTTAGTCTATACATTTAATTTAAGAATGATGTGTAATTTATTATTTTCATATTAGAATATTTGAAACTTGTATAATTTTTTACAGGTATTTAGATATGTTAATAATTTTTTAAAATATAAATTATAGATTTGCATATACTTATCGGGTCATGCGGTTCAATCAATAACCCACTTGTTGAAAGACCGGATCGAGTTTAATAATATTGATAATAACTCCTTTAATACAATTATAAAAAATATAGTAATAAGATGCTGGAAAATAAACTAAAAAATAGTTAATATTTCGTCTGAGTAAATTAGTTTATTAACTGATTTTTTATTTTGAAAATTTTGTGTCTAATTATACATTTTTTTAGTATCAGTTATAAATTTTTTTTCTTAAACCCATTTCTTAAGTTTTTTATATTAGAATATTTGAAAGTAATATTATTTTTGGCATGCATTTAAATATGTTTGTGGATTTTTACGTATAAAATATAAATTTATATATATTTAATTAGGTCAAACGGTACAGGTTTAACCATTTATCCAACAACTCAATTTTCCGGCCGAATTAATGACGGATTCGGTTATAATAATATTGGTAGAATCCTTATTAACAAAAGTAGTTAAAAACAAAGTGATTTTATTTTAGAGAAGGAATTGGAGTGACGCGCAGAAAGATAAGGTGGTGGAGGGAAGACGTAAAGGAAGAGGGTGGGAGCAGAGTATAACTATTCACGCGCACGCTTGTGTACTATGAAAAACATGATAACGTGATCATTAATATCTTTAGACCATCTATCACATCCCTTAGATTTCATTTCCCATATTCCAACGCCTCCTTCTCTCTTACATAACATCAATATTCAATTCCCTCAACTAATCAATATAACTAAATAAATATTAGACATTTTTTCATTAATAATCTTGCTTTATAAAAATCTTAAAATTTCAAGTCTTCGTAAATATAAATAAACTTTAACTTAATAAATAAATATAACACTTTTGTTCTATTATTATTAATATAAATTTTGATTCATTCATCTCTTCCCACAATTGTTTTTTTCCTCCGCCTTTGCTTTCCAGCTCCACACACATATATGGACATTGAGAAACTCAAATACACACGCATGAGTTGAAAAATCAATCAGTGCTTGGAATGGCAATGGGAAGTGCTACTAATTATGCAATCATACTGTTACACATGTTCTATAAGGAATCGTAGTTGTGATGGAATAAGATCTTCTTATGATCGGCGACCCCACATGGTGACTGTGAGTGTATGATTTTGCTTTGCTAAACAATTGTTATATTATACGCAGGCGTGGACCTCGTACAATGGTACCATGAGTTTTTCTCCCTTGTGTGTGAAAAGAGGCACAATCCTATTTCACCTAACCAAAACCAAATCTTTTAATTTTACACTTTATGGCTAATCATAACCTGACAAATACTCTGATGATGATTTCGTTTGTTAAAATAATAACTATCCATCAATAACTTAAACAGCCTGACGGATCCTATCGTAATCTGAACATTCCTTTCATTCTCATTATCTCCATTTTGAATTTTGGTCATCCCAGTTGGATTTTAAAAGTAAAAAAGTACAGATAACAATCCAAGTGGGGATCTTCCACTCGTATGCTTGCATATTATGAAGATAAGTTTGTTATTTCACAGTGCCATAATCAAACTTTGGAGAATGTGGTACCAATTTTAATACATATCAAATATCATCACGGAAAAGTTGTAAAAGTATATACAAGTAGCATTAATTTATGAGATAACGTGTCGTTATATGGTAACATACATTTATTTATACACACATTATTAGTGTATATATGAACATGTATATAATTTTGTTAAAGTGGGAGACCCACGTGTTGTTTGAGTGTGACCTCGATCCGAATTAAATTTTAATAAATTATATTTATTATGATTAATTATATAATTAATTATAATTTGGCCGGGTTAAAATTGTAATTTGGTCAGGACTACAATTTGTAATTTGGTTCTGTCTAAAATTTAAAATAATTTTGGTAAAAGATTTGGATAGATTGTATTAGGTTATGTGTTCAATTTTCACTTATATAAAAAAGGGAAAAATATTTCTGCAGTTACTGCAGATAAGTTATCTACATTTATTCTCAAAACGACATCGTTTTGATATTGAAATCTTAAAAAATTATAAATATAAAGACTATTATAACCCTGAAATAAATTAAAATTACAAAACACCATGATTTCTGCCCCAAAACGACGTCGTATTGAGCTTACTGCAGATAACTTATCTGCAGTAACTGCAGAAAAAACGAACCCTATAAAAGATATATATATATTTTGAGTAAAATTAAAAAAATATTTAATAAAATTATAATTCTTCTTAATGCTGCCTGCTCAGGTTCTCTGTATTTAATATAATTTAAATATATTATGATATGACCTAACTAAAATTAAAAAAATAAATACACATAATTTTTTGGCCCGGGTTCAAATTGGAGCCCGACTCCGCCACTGATTTTGTTGACTTATTACAATTTATCTCACATTGTGTTTTTTTATACAAATCTCTGGGGTGTTCATCAACCGATTAAAAATGATTTAAAACGCGATGACTGAACTGAAAAACCAATAACCGAATTAATTGAAAATTGAAAACTGGAAAAAAAAATCATAAAATTTAATTGGATTGGATCAATCTTTAGTTTGGTTGGTGAAAACCGATCCAATATAAACCGATTCAATGATTCCTCAACCTTACCCTCTACTTACTTGTGCCTTTCCTCACTCGTAGCCTAAGAATCATATAGAAAAATTCTAAATCCAAGACCCATTAATCCATCGTGTTGGAGAAAGTGGGTTGTGTTTGATCTATGTTATGCTTTTCTTTTGTGTAAGATACATCATATATTTTTATTGTATGGGTTATTGTTGAGCAACAACTACTCTATAGGATTAAAATTTGAGTCACTCTGTATATCAGGTAACCATGTTGTATATTTTTTATTGGAGATAAAAGATGGTAATTCAAATTTTTGTTGTACTGTATTGAAAATTAGATTATCGTTTACTGATGCTTCTAAATTGCACAATAATCATCGTATAAACTTTATAAAGCCGATACATACAAAATATATGTTATTTGCACAATAATCATCATACAAATCTTAAGATTTTTAAAAAATCAAAAATCAATTCAATTCAAACCAAATAAAATTGGATTAGATTTGAAAAAAAAATCCAAATGGAATAGATGATTACATGATCAAACCGAAGAGATAGGATCAGATAATTTTTACTTTCAAAATCGATCCAATCCAGACCGCGAACACCCCTACACATCTCACATTTTTTTTTGTACACAAGTACTTTGATCTTGTTACCTCAACGGATGTGAATAAATGTAATTTTTTTGATACATTAAAGTAAAGACACAAAACAAAGAAAAAGAAAAATAGAAAAGATTAAACAGGAAAGCTCTTAGCGAGTCTACACATGTCAAGCAAAATTATACCCCTACTGTCAGCCTGGAGATGACACCATAGTCGGGGGTGGGGCCAGAGAAGTGAGCTCATTAGGTAACTCCAGGTGCACCAACAGATAGTTTGCCAACCAATCTGTGCACCGGTTGCCTTCCCGAAGAACATGCATAAATCGAACATTCCATTGGTGAATAACAAATGCTCGTATTCGAGTCACTAGATGGGACTCGCGAGCTTCATTGCCTTCCTTACAAAACAATGCAATAACTGTTTGACAGTCATTTTCAACCAAAACATTTCTCCAACCTGCCTCTTAAGCTAACTCTAGCCTTTTTAACATACTCCACAGTTTCACTTGAAAAGTAGCACAATGTCCAATTCTTGCAGCGAACTCCATAGCCAAACTCTCTTGTGGTCACGAATAAGCCCTCCACAAGCTGCTTTAGTCGTTTGACCCTTCAAAGCCTATCTGTAATTAATTTAACATACGGAGTCAACGGAGGCTGCCAGCTAACATCCTTAGAGGAATGGAGTCGCAACATTGACTTTGTGTCTAAAAAGGCAAGTTGTATCTCCTTTAAGTAGTCAAGGATTAGCTGAGCAAGGTGGCGACCCCCATTGGGAGAGCTATCGTAGGTCATTTCATTTTTCCAGCGCCAAATATACCAGCAGCAAACAATATATAATGAACTTCAAACAATTCCTCACATACCCATGACATCGCAACTCCAATTATCAATCATTCAATCATCCCAATTGGCATCAAAGAATTGTATCAAGATGAATAAATGTAATTCAACATGTGTATGAATAAATGTAATTCAACATGTGTATCAAGATTATATTTATATATATATATATATATATATAAAGGTGGATAGAAAAATAATTATTCTCATTATGTTGGCTTGTTTTATTTGGCGATAGCTAACTTTCGTGATAGATTTGTAAGGAATTTGTGTTTTATGTGTATGAATATAATAATCAGTTGGTCATCTTATGCATCAGATAATGGTTATTTCTTATTTATTTATTTTTGAGATTAATGTTTTTTATGTTATAAGAGATAATTTTATTATCTCCTACACATATATAAAAATATGTGAAATCCATGGGGTGCCATGTAAAAAAAAAGAGAAAAAATATGTCTCACATACTTTTATATATATAAAAAATAAAATAATCTCCTATAATATAAGAAATATTAATTCATTTATTTATTTATCTTAGAATTTAAGGTTCAGGATTCAGGGTTCAGTTTCGGCAGCTTCCAAAATAATGAAATTTTAGATGCTAATGAGGTGGGAAACTAGGTACTAAACATGCCGGTGTTGTATATTCTAACACATATTCTATTGTCCTGTTCCATTCTTGATCTATTTTTTTTTTTTTTCCATTGATTCATTTATTATTCAAATAGTATAGTTCAAGCCACGTTGAAATCATATAAAAAAACGAGGTTCTTTTAAAGTTATTCTCCCTATTCTTAAAACTCGAACTTAAATTCTTATATAAATAATTGGTCCAATTTGTTTCATATTACTTATCTTCCTTCCTACCTACCTCTACGACCATCTCATCCCTTTTTTTTAATTATTTTAATTTGGGGGACCAAAAAACCATGACCATAAAGTAGACGAACCACCAGCCAATAAAGACTAACTCATTTCGAGCCACACGGCGAGCGAATCATCCCAAGGTTATCTAACGAATCTGCGTATTTAATGATTGGGGTCGCAAGAAAGAGATTAGTATGATTCAAATCAACTCATTGATGATGAAAGAGACATTGTGGCTTTTATATTTAGTAAGATCCGTCCTACAAACTAAAGTGTTAATCCAAAAGATTTTAAAAGCATTGTAAATTTATGTGCAGAAGTCGGTATTAGGAATGGGAACAATAGTGGATAGACATTAGTTAGTTAGGCACCACTTTAGTGCTTTATTAAGCAAAATAAAATGTATAATCAAATTTAACAATTTATTTCCTCATTCAACGAATAAATTGGTATATAATGTTGTATTCTACAAAAACCATACAAGGCTTTGGTAAATTTAATTAGCCGCATGAAAATGATTTGAATACAATCCAACTAAACAGTTGAAATGTGGTTAGGGACGATGGGCCGTGAGAACTTGGGCCGGTCCAAAGAGATATTGGACCTCCTAGCCATTTCTATCTTAGGACAAAATCCATATTTTCTCAGCCACGGTGTTTAGTTTGGGAGAAAATTTTATTATTGGAAAAAAAAAATTCTTGGAATATGATGAGTAATTTTTTTGCTCAGATAAGTTACAAAAAAGGTGTTTGGTAGACAAAAAAAATGTGTTGGGAAGTTGGGTTATTTTTACTAATGCTATGTTTGATTGATGGAGAAATATTGATGAGAATGTGTAATAAAATTACAAAATTATCCATTATGTTAAAATATTGAATCACAGTCACCCATTACAAAATAATTGTCAGCAAACGTATGTTAAAATATTGAACCCTGACTTTTTCAGGGCATTTTTGTCCGCAAATCGTACATGCGTTTCTCCATTCGTTGGATTAAAAAAATACCACAATTCAAATGGCAATTTTTTTTTTCATTGCCTAATTCAAAACGAAATGCATGGAAAAAATAATATACCGATATTTTATAACTTCAAGACATATCAAACATGATTAACATATTTTACCTACCCCACTTTTTCAACATTCCTATCAAATTCTCCATGCCAAACACCCCCAAAGATTGACTGCATTTATCAATTAATGATCTTAGGTTAAATTTATCAATGACTATAATAAGTTTGTAACAGCATTCTAAAATGAAAAAGGAGTGCGAGACTACAAAAATACTTCACCGATCACAAGGATTAATCGAGAGAAGTGAAAACAAACAATGCCTCAAGAATTAATGCATCACGTATATCTTGATTCATTGCTTATTTAGCTCATTTCCATACATGCTTTTTTCAATCTCAACAAGTATATATTAAGCAGAGAGTGTAAACAGAGTATGAACAAAGCTAGTTAATCATGTAAGGCATATATGTACAATTTTTACATTCGGAGTTAGCCCTGTTGGCATTTATGTATAATTACAATTCTCAAGTGATGTTTGTTCAAACTGCAGTATGGCAGAACAGCAGATGAATTCCTTCACTTGTCAAGAACGATAATAACTTTCACCTACGTTAGTTATCCAGCTACATTGGCAAGTTAACACCTTCTCTGAAAAGGATGTTAGCCACTGAAGATGTCCACGTAGTGCTGCTACCATTCTGGCTATCTATGCAATGACTTTCATTCTCTATAGCATTAACATTCATGTTCCTCCCCATTTTCTTTCCAACTAACATCCCTAGTTTCACAGCTGTAAGAATGCCAAATGCAATTAGAACAGGTCTAACTGCCCAGTGATGATCCTCTACATGTTGATACTTCTTTAACATACATGGACAAGACCTGAAATTAATCACATCAACCTCAGAGGGATCAGCCAAGAAGGTGCTTGGTTCATCCCCAAAAGTCAACATTCCTGGGAACTTGACAACTAGACACCCATTTGGTAGGATCCATGAAATCTTACCAGTAGCCCAGGCTCCTCCCCTTTTACGTGGCCATTCGAATCGAGGACTCAAAACATTGGCTTTCAGCCTAGTAAACTGCCCCACACAGTAAGATTCTGCCATTTCAAGTTCTGAAGAATTTCCTTTCCAAAGAGTTTGCAGCCCAGTAAACCCAACATCCACTCTGCCATCACGATCGACGGAATGAAGAATACCCACTGGCGAGTGCTTCTCATCTTCTTCCTTCAAGCGTACCCAATCACCAGCTGCCAAACCATTAGTGACACGTTCAAGAGTTGATGCATGAATCCTTATAGGGTCATGAACACCATGGACCCTCACTAAAACAAAACCATTATCTGCATGACGTTCTAAACCAACAACATTTCCTTCTGGAACATCCATGTTTTGAGGCTTGCATGAATTGGAAAGCTTTCTAGATCGCACCATGTCACCCACCTGAAGATGATCCTTTGAGAGGAACCACTGTGTATAGCCAATGCTACTTGATTTTACTGTAATTTTTTGAGTTCCGAGAAATCTCCACCCTCCATCATTGGCTACTGCATTCAGTGAGCTGAAAAGTAGGCAGGACAATTAAGAATAAAGTAATATTTATTAGAAGATCTTTCTTTTGCCCATGAAGTTAAATGAAAATTAACTGAAAAGATAACCATGCTTAGATAAAAACAGTTACAGCTCAAAGATAATTGTTTTAATACTTTCTGGTACAGACAGTATCTCAGATTATTTGGAAGCACAAGTGTAAAACACTTTCACTAATTTTCAACTAATTGGCTACCCATTAAATGTTCAGAGTTCATATCAAGCCTTCAGAAGATACAATCTACAATGAACGAGCTTGATAACTGAAGTGTGGAGACAAAATCACCATCCAGACAATATGCACACCGAGTGAATATCTCACCATGTTATGCAGTCATGTTCAATTGTAATTGATTGATCTAAACAATACTATGTTTATTCAGACAATGCATGATGCAAGACACTAAAACATCAAGAAATAAAATAATGATGATTTTTCCAAAATATGAATGTAAAGAAAGGTTAATACAGTATACATAACTCTATCGAACTCTTCTTAAGCAATGAAGAATTTGAAAAACAACCACTGAAACTTCATGTCCCATATAACTATTTACTAGCATATGGCAAACCACTATTTGAATCTCCCTATGACCAGCACCATTCTGTTCTAGTAACCCCCAATATCTTGTGTTTTTGGACCAATTGTCATCCTCGTATGGATAAAATAATTCATACAACTTGACTAGTTAAAAAAGATCATTCCAAAAGCATTCTGGAAAAAGCAGTTATAACATCAACGCAAAATAGGTCATCATACGAATAATGTGTGGTATGTGTGCACATGCATGGGGGTATACATATATAGCAAACATCCACAGTAAATTAGTCTCACATATCACTCACTAAAAATGAATGAAACTAAGTAAAAAGCCAGAATATGTACCACACAACTTTGTAAAGCTGTTAAAAAAAAAAGGCAACCTAGTTGCAGAAACTTTCTAGAAAAATATTAAAACTCACAAACCTTTTAAAGACTGTCAGAATATCTACCATTGAAGGACGATTCCTTAAATCATACTCAAAGCATCCACTGAGGATATTCTCAATTGAAGAAGGAAGGCCACAAGGAATATGTGGTTTTTCATGCTTTTCAACAACCGATTGGTAAATTTCACCAACAGGAAGTCCATACCAAAGTTGATTACCTGTCAACATTTCCACAATGGTGCATCCGAATCCCCATGAATCGGTTTCAAAGGATATAGGGCCTCTAACTTTTGGTTGCCATTGTTCTGGAGCCATGTAATTTGGCGTACCAAGCCTGTGAGCCATATCTGAACTCATGAATGTAGAACCAAGCAAAAGACTGGGAATGCCAACATCTCCCAATATTGCTTGATCACTATCATCGAGAAGCACATTAAATGGTTTAAGGTTGAGAACTAGGATCCCTTTTGAGTGAAGTTCCAGAATACCTTGAGCAAGATTGATACCATACCTGCAGCATGTAACATGCCATTAGTATTGACCAGCTTTCCCCCCTCCTCCCTGTGCTATATAAAGATACATATAAACATATATTTCACTAGACACACCAAAATCAAATTACCTCAGAACATCAGGCAATAAAATCCTCCCCTCTCTGAGTCTAGCCATCTTGTCACCGATTGAACCCTCATAAAAATTCATAATGATGCATATCTGTGAGCACAAACAAATATATTAATAGATAGCCAAGTCTACATTGGAAGCTAAAGATCGCCCATATACTGAATAAAATGCACAGTCCAAGTCTAACCCTTCCATTTAAAATTGAAATTCCAAGTAGACAGCAAACCCTAGGCACCCCTTTGCACTGAAAATATAATTCGTGAAATTTCTCTAATACAGTCTTCATATGTTCCTCTCTGATTGGAGGTAATATCTTGACAGCAACTTCATGACACTCATCATAATCTTCAGTTGACTGATGATGAGTTGCTAACCAAACATCACCAAAGGTCCCACGACCAATTCTGTGTCTGAGTTTCAACCTTTCAGGTTCAATCCATAGGTCCTTGTTGCTGGATGAGGCTGTGACAGTTCTAAGGTGCTCAGGATCACCAACCAAGAGTTCATACTCAAAAGTAGCTGGTGGAGTAGCAATAACTTGTGCCATTCCTCAATCTGAAGTTGTAACATTCATAATTCAGCAAATTGCAGAAATCCCAATACAATATACATGTGTAATAATTGATAATTAACATTTGAACTGCTGAAAACATATGTCTACCTACATGCATAAAACAATAATATGCAAACTGGTATTCACCATCAGCATATGCAAACTCTTCACCTTCTGAGAACTAAAGAACAATAATACAAAGGGCATGTAAACTTATACACTTTGTTTGATGAAGAATCAACCAGAGTTCAAAAATATGAAAATCAGAAACAATAAACAGTACCGAATTTACTGTGAAACTCAGTATACTAAGAAGAAGAAGAAAAAGTTTAGTGTTATTGTGAGAGCACTTACAAATCAACGGCTTGGGGGTGCAGATAAAATTGCCAGGTTTGTTTATATAAATTCAAAACAAAGTTGAGAAAAAAGGAGGAGAAGATGGGAGAACTGAATAGAAACTGGGGTGGCGAGTCATTATTTAAATGAAAATAATAATAATAAAATGGCTAAGGGCATGAATGACATTTTAAACGGTGATGAAGTAATGTTATATTTGTTGATATGTATAAATATGGATTATTTAGTCTTCTCCCAGTATACGTCATGTACGATTTAACGTAGCTTCCAAGTCGCAGTTATTGATAAAAAAAGAGGGGGAAATAGGTTATTTTTTAAATATATATAAAAGGATATGAGATTTATGTGACGTTATTTAAAAAATAATAATAATAAATTTTATATATTTTTATTTATATACAGAAAATAAAATGTATTTTTTTTTTTTTATAAACGAGAGACATTAAAAATTCAAAAAAAAGAAAAGAATAAAAACTATTAGAAATTCAACAATGATTGGTATAAATAGTATCACCATTTTAGTATTTTACGATGCCCTGTTGTTTTACTCCAGGCAAGTAGGTATGTCTTGTAGGTAAAATTAATGCAAACTAACATACAGAAAAATTCTTAGTATACATAAAATTAATATAAACTAATTAGAAAATAGCTACAAAAAGATTATTAAAAAAGCTGCAAATAAATTTTAATACAAAATTTAACGATAAACATAAAAGTACAACGAAGACAAGATTTGTCGAAAATTTTGTACTACCCAATGAACCTTTCTTATCCTATGCTACTTGATGCACAGTATACATAAAGAGTTGATGTTCATTGCTTACCATTGTTTCCAGTTTCCACCGATTATAATTTCTATCCTTTCAGCCAGCAGGCGCTGATTCTCCGTTCTAATCAAAATAGAGACTCACATGGACAATTTTTTTTTAGGTAATCTGCACACAACTTTAGTAAATTTAAATAAACTTATTAAATAATTATTTAAATTCTTTTCCTCCAAGACTCCATACAAAATATTGGCTTCATATAAAATAATATTATTTTAAATTTATTTTTTATGATAAAATTTTACTTTTCTCCTCAAATCTGGTTTTATTCTCAAATTAATTCTTTTTTTATTATAAAAATTAGTTTTTTTCTTCTCAAATCTCAATTGCTTTATTATATATAGAGAAAAGTGTTTGTCATTTTAAATGACAAAAAGTTATATCATTTAAAATGACAAACACCAAACACATATATTAAAGTAGTGTAAATGTCCTTTTTCAACTTTTTTTATTTTAAATTTTAAATTTATATTCTTTTGAATTAATTACATATATCCTCTTTGTAATTTTGATTTTATTTCTTTTAATATATATATTTTAAATTATATCAGAATTAAAGAAAAAATATTTATCCTTTTAAAAGTAATTATTTTATTTAAAATTAATATTTTGAGTTTGGTGTTTTTCATTTTAAATAATATAAGTTATATCATTAAAAGAGAGATAGATACAATGAATGAAAATCATGTAAGAGAAAGTGAGTGGTTTTTTTTTTAATTTAAATTTTAAATAAAAAATATTTTCTTGTATTTATCTCTTTTTTAAAATGACATAATTTTATATCATTTAAAATAACAAACAGGCTATAAAAAAAATGACAAATATTTTTTCCTAATATTTTTTATTTAATTTTAAATTTTTTTAAAAAAAATCTCTCACTTTTTTACACCGTGATTTCTGTAACACAAAAACCAACTGAAAAAGCGTCATATTGATAGGTATGTTGCGACCCCAGGTGCAGCAACTTAAAGGCATGGGCGCATGCCATGCCATGCCTGATAGATTGCATGATTGACTCAATTACAATTCCCAAGGCATCTCTCTTTGCACTGAACATGAAGAAAATCCACTGCAATATAATTCTTTATGCCAAGATGTTGCGTATGAGAGAATGAGCCACAGTATTTTGTCGAAGAACGATACTACTACAGTCTATCCTACTAAAGGAACCAAAGCAAGGTTGAAAAATCTGTTAACAGAGTGTGTACAGACTAGAGAATAAAATCATTAAAATGTGAACTCTTAAAAATACTCTCTCCTTGTGTGTCTCGGAGGGAAGTGCTGCCTACCGCAGCATAAATTTTTTCTAATTTCCCTAAAACCGCTCACTATACCTCTGGCAATCATTGAGGGGCAAATCCCGCCTTCCATTCTAGCTCTTCTCACAACTGCCAGCCGAGTGTCTGAGAACAAACCTCCCAAAAAGCCAGTTAATCTGCTCTTTCCAACGCGATTTTCTTCTGCATTGCAATTCTGGATCTTCCCATTCTCTATGATTATACCATCCAAACCAATATCATCATCATGACTATAATCTTTCTGTTGATATCTATTCGCTTGTGACGATGACCTGCACTTATCCAGCTTGTGTAAGGACTTGTTTGAGGACAATATTATAGCAACATGCCTGAAATCCAACTAAAGGAGGTTCCCATTTCCCATTAATATTTCTACATCATACAAGTTAGTATTGATTTCCATACCCTTTCAAAGAAAATCACCAAGTCCTAATAAAACATTCATGAATGATTGGAACAGCAAGCCTCCTATAATTCTTTGGGCAGGTCAGATATTTAAAGATCTCCACAGCTATGGTGTCTTTTCTTATTTTTAATTGAACACCTTTAAAAATAACATATAATATATTATCTTTTTTTGTGTGTATGTGTGAATGATATACTATAAAGAGGGCGAACCGGAACAATGGTAAAGCTGTTTCTTTGTGATTATAATGTCACGAGTTCGAATCCAGAAAATAATTTTTTTGTAATTATTTGCAAGGATAAGGTTACGTATAAGAATTGTCCCAGCCCAGACTCGCTAGTTGAATTTAATTGGGAAATGGTTTTTTCTTTTGGTGAATGATATACTATATTATCTACTTACGCCAATATTTGGCTTCTAACTGAAAAGGTAAAACTGATCATTTATTACATAAAGAGAATTTAAAAACATATGTGTATTGCGTGAAGAACCAAGCTTCCTTCTATTCATTTGGAAGACACGACATTGCAGCGATTCAGTATTATTACCAGATAGAGGTGATTTACTACGTGCAAGTACAAAGGCCAGGACTCATCTTGTGCAACATGGCAGAGTAATGTTGGTCCTGAATCATGCAGGCAAAGCTGAATATTTTGCATAGTTACATTGAAAACTTCGTACCTCCGGTGTTGTTTCAAATTGTTAAGTCTTTTCTTCAATCGCTTTTTTTGAGAACTGCAAGTGTTGGATACATGGCGCACGAAATGAAGCTGCAAAACCAGGAAAAAGAAGAAGAAGAAGAAGAAGAAGAAAACTATCAAGTTACAACCAATGAACTTCTAACAACACCACATTACAAGAATTAAACGATAACTAATTAAAGTAACCAACTAGTTGAGACTTGAATGTCCTTTTCTAATGTTAGGTAGATTGTATTAAAGCCACATTAAAATCATACGATTCATACAATTATAATCTTATAAATCAGAGAAGTTCAAATGTGATGATTTGACAAAATATTTCATCAACATGTGCATGTGTAGATCAAGCAGGCTCTTCAATAAAACTGTAAGACTTAAAAGTCACAAACCTGGTCACCATCCTTGATGCCATGATCTCTGAGATAATCCGTTTCAGTAACTAGCTTGTGTCCATTATAGCATAAGCAAAATTGCCCCCAAACGTGTGGCCTACACAAACAAATGGAAAAAATAAAAAACACACGCAACAGATCATGGTAATTTCGTAAGTAGAAACTGCAGAAAAACATTAGTAACAGCACGCTTCTGTTCCATGAGGTTAAGAAAGCAACAAATTTCACTACGCAAATCCAAATTGAATAATGAAAACCAACCTATACGTGTCTCATATTCCAATATCATAATAAAATAATTCATAACAAGATACTCTAAATTGCCCCTATTCTCCACATAGTCAAATTAATGACATTGTTAAACCTCTAAAACCAAATTAGTCAGATTACATATTCATAAACACATGTAAGATGAGTAATTAACACACACACAAACACACACACACCATGATATTTTCCCTGGCCCCTTCTGAGGCATGTGACTAAAAGCTGCCTCTACTGCCTGCTTGAGTTCTGCAACAGTTGCTGTCTTTGCAACTTCAACATCTGCAAACAAACTCTTGCATCGATTCAAAATGAAAAAAGATTAAAAAAAAAAAGTACCAAGATTGGCGAAAAAAGAGGAGCGAATTACAGAAGGAAGAGGCATCCAATTTGTGGACGGAGAGCCTGAGGGGTTCGGAAGGAAGCCTGCCGTAGGAGAAATTGCGATCGACGATCATCAGCGAAGAGAACTGCATGCTCAGAGATCGTCGAGGGCTCTCGCTCTCCTCTGAAACATCCAATCGACTCTCACTCTCACTCTCACCCTCACCCATAGCGTCAACTGAAAAAGCGACTCATCAAATCGTGCTGTTTATACAAATACAAGAAGGAGATTCTTGGAGCGGAACCTAGCGCATTGTGCAAATGAAGTTAGGGTTGCGCTTGTAAGTGTAAATGTAACTGTTAAGTAACAGAGAGAGAGATTATTGGTGTTGTATGGTTGAAGGGAGGGTTTTGCAGACGGTGATGACGGTTAGGCTCGGAGATTCTTGATAACCGTTAGTCAACTGACTTAACCGCCTCTTCGCTTTCCTTTCCTTTGATTTGCAATTTTTTTTTTTAATTCGAAGTTATTGATTTGCAATGTACTTCCCATTTCATAATACAAAAATACGGCGTAGAAATATTGATTATTTAAAAGAAGAAGAAAAAACTGGCTGAAAAAATATTGAAAATAAAATGATTATGCAAGACAAATTCGCCAAGAACTTTAAACTTAAAAGTATCGTTTACCGAAAAAAAAAAAACACTTAAAAGTATCTATTAACTATGCTTATTATTTGTATAAACGATGACAAGATTATTATTTTTTAAAATTTTGGTAATATTTATTTATTAATGGAGTAAATATACATTTTAGTTTAAAAAGATGTTACTTCTAATACTTTGGTTTCAAAAAACTAAATTGAGATTCAGAGAGATGAACTGCTTAACGAATTGGAAACTTTAAAATTGCGAACTAATTAATATGTTCACAACTTTCGAGAATTTTCGAGACCAAAGTAACATAAGTGATATTTGTAAGGGCGCTAATGCTACAGAAAACTTATCGAAATTCAGTCAAATTTTAATAAGATTCAAGGATGGCAGTGGATAAGTCAAGCGGTAGAAATAACTCATATATGCCTAAAGAGTCAATAACTATACTAATTTATTCTAACAACATTTGAACCTCAAGTAGCATACTCTCTTCCTTCCCTTATCACCTCTTCACACGTCCTTTGAAAAATAAAATGAATAATAGATACATGTAGACTACATAAATTTCTCTTCCTACCTACTAAAATAGAGATCTTGTAAAAAGTTCAATACAAAGAATGGGATGCAAAGGACTCATCAGATACAAAGGGTGAACTCATTCATAGATCAAAGGCTGTTTGAATACAATAAAGCCCATCAAAGCATGAATTGTTTCGATCCCCAGAAAATGTAGAAAATCTCAAGTTCTAACTCAGCAAAATCTCCTAATAAATTAGATTAGCTAGATCGCATGTTCGACAGACCCAAGGTCGATTCAGATTCTTTTCCTTTTAGAGGGATTTAGTGAAGATCAGACGGCCGAAGCATATGGCAGTCCCCAATTCATCAAGACATCAACGGAAAAACTAGGGCAAGTTATTTGCCAATGAGCTTATAGTAGGCATATAAACCAGAGCCCACAAAACCGAGAAATTGCCCTGCTACATTCCACTGCAACCAAAACAAAACACATTCTATCAACCAATATAATCAAATGATAAATGAAGGTCAGTCGGGACAAGAGCACTCACAAAATCAAACGGTAGCCCACCAAATATTATCCAGCCAAAGCCAATAGTAAATACATCCTGGGCATCAATTCATAATATTCAGAGTTCACGGATAAAAACCGCAGACAGCCATCAACTGTGGCAATGATCTAAAATGAATGTAAAAAGGACACTTTTGTAGAAATGAGTGCATATTCGACTGCATGGCATCATGTTGGAAGGAGTACATTCTTCAAGCAATTAAAAACCAACATATGGTGATAAGTCTTAGCGTCAATGTCAACCAATTATCATAATTTAAGCCTCATCAATCAGAAACAACAACTATTCACTAAAATACCATTTTTTTTTTCTTTTTCCCCAATTTTTATACCTACATCAATCAAATTTGACTATAACATTGAGACAAGGAAGATGAATTCCCAAGAGAATTGGCAATTTAGGGCCTGTTTGATTACTGTTTTTGAAAACAGTTTTTTAATTTTCAGAATAAAAAAACCTGTGTGACAAGACTTGTTTTGTAAAAATAGTTCTAAAAATTATAACTTTTTTTTAGTTTTTAGAATCAAATTTAGAGAACATGTCTAAGTTGTTTTTATTTTTATCTTTCAAAATAAAATAAACACGGAAAGCACATATTTCATTAATTATTCTACAAAACAGTTTTAAGAAAAAAAAAAATCAAAACAAAATCAAACAGGCCTTGATCTCATTTCTTCACTTTCAAAAATGTTAACAAGTGAAACTGCCACTATATTTAAATACCGCTCTCTATATACAGTATGTAGTTAGAAATTGCCTCGGTCCCAACTTCCATGCCTGATCAGTTAGGTAGTGTACCCCACCCTCTCATCTGCATCAATTTCCACAAGCAAATTAACAGTTCATTATAATTACTCTCTCGTAACACTAAAATGTACTAGGAGATCTCCCCAAATTCCAAGTTTTAATAGCCAAGAAGTGTACTAATGCACCCCTGGTTCTCCCCCAATAAAATTTAGAATTATAAGAAAAAAAACACCCCAAACAATCCTTGCACAGAAAAGTCCATGCAGTAGTTAACTACTATGATATCACTCTAAAAGAGAAGACTTATATTATATAGCATCAGCGCCAACCTGAATAACTGTGCATCTTACATTTGAAGGAAAAACAACTAGCAAGTGAACAAACCTTCAGATTACCACAAATTGTTTGAGTCAGAGCTGAATTCAGAGTTGTATTCAGAAAAATACTGTAATTCAGGAAGAAAGCGAGGATGCAGGAAAACAGCAAAATAACCTGTCCCCCAAAAAAAAGAAACACAAAAATTACAAATTGACAAAATATCAAAATTAAGAGGAAACTGGGTTTAAAACTTGATGCAGATTGCTATAGACAAAAGGCAATTGTTTCTTTGTGAACAAAGATTTGGACCTTTCAATTGCTGGAAACAAATTACTTGTGCAGGACTAATGCATATACGACTCTCCCCTCATTAAATTAAAAGGAACATTAGAATTGCAATGATAATTTCCATAATAGAAAATTGATATACTTCTTAACTAGAGTGAGACAGGATAGACCCTGTAAGTACAACAGATATACTACGAAAACTAAAAGTATAAATACTGATCAACTAAGTGTGGAGAAAACATTTATTCTACGTTGTATTATATCAGGTTATCCAATACCCCTGCAGTTTGGCTCATTTTACACTTTGGTCACGTGGTTTAAAATGTGCCAAATTGCCCCGGCAGTTTGTTACATACACACCTCTGCAAATTTCCATCAACATGTCAACAGATTAAACATGTGGAAAACATGATAGCCATCGGGCTTGGCCTGTTTGCACTTTTCCCCATGTGGTTTATTATGTAAGCATATAATTCTCTATCATCAAAATGTGGCAGAAAATAGCTTAGGCTGGCAAACTGGCAAAGTACAAAAAGGGAGAGGGGATATTTGATTTTTAAACTTACGTGATTTAGTCCAGGCTGATTTCTAGATCCTAGCTAACTTCCCAAGGATAAAAACAAAATTTCTCTTAGCAAGTAACCAAGGATGAATACTGCTACTTAGTAAAAGGACAAAAGCTCAAGCTGAACATACAATAAAACCAGGTGAAAGAAGATAAGGAAAATTGATTGTCATCTTCAAGTCACCCCAAACTAATGTCCAAATAAGCAAAAGTGGTCCACATATGATACCTATAATAATATAGAAAAAATAATTTCAAATGAGAAATATATAAAAAACAAGCATGCTTTCTTTTACCAAAAAAAACGTAAGAAAGTTTAATAGGCCATTTTATACAATTTATCAGCTTACCATTGCACCACATAAGGCCAAAGGTATTAAGACCACTAGTTTTGCCTGAGAAAAAGACATGATATCAAATAAATAAGAAACGGTAGGCTAACTACAGGGGAAAAAGTTATAGAATTTCCACTGTGTGTGTGTGAGAGAAAGAGAAAAGATAGGAATACAACCAACACGGGCTATGGTTGCAAGATATATAGCTGTGGTGATATTTGACAGGAAAACAATGGCATAGCCATAGGCATCAAAAGAGAAGTCCCGCACTCCGGCTATAAATGCGCCAAAGACAATCAAGCCAACACTGACAACAACCTTACAAATTTCAGTTAAATGAAGCAATCAGGGTGATTCTCATTCAAAGAACAATTTGAACTTTAACTTCATTTTTTATAATGGAAGCAAGGGAGAAATAAGAAAAACGAAAGTGAACCAGTTATGTTATTTTTAATGGAATGCGTATCAACTTCTCTTTTTGAAAGTGCACGTAGGAGAAGCATCCTGAAAGACTTGCATTAAATGTCCAATGTACCATATTTAGAATGCATAGTTTAAGTTTATAAGTACAATAGTTATAGCTGATTAAGTGATAAACCAGGTTCTCACTTACAATAAGAACTTTCATGCTTAATGCAACTATTTAGCTTAAATTGCTCTTTTACCGTAATCAAGTTCTAAGTGTCAAGACCAACAATCCCAAAAGCTTATGCTAATAAGTGAAGGATATATGAATGGTTTTATTATATATCCAATATGCCTCTCACGTAATAGCACTTTGAATTTGAAGTGTGGACAATGTATCATCCTACTCTACCATGTAAAATCAACTTTTATTTAAAAGTGGGAAGGATCAAACTCCTAACCACTTGGTTACAAAGACTCTGATATTGTAAGATAGGTAATAAATAAATAGGGGTTAATATCATTCCAATTGCTGTTATAAAAGTAATTAGTATTTTTGTCATTAAAAGATATTTTTAACTGGTAATTATAAAAAAAAAAAAAACTATTAATTCTGCAATAAAACCGCCCATACCCGGCAATGCAAGAGAAGCCATTGATAAAATACTGAAAACGGTGAATATTTTTGGCATCAGATGGACGTGAAGTAATTGATATTATACCTCCAGGACCAGAACTTCTTGTTTCAGAGGGCGAATCTATTAAATTTGATCAACCGTTAACGAGTAATCCTAATGTGTGTGGGTTTGGTCAGGGGGACGCGGAAATAGTACTTCAAGATCCGTTACGTGTCCAAGTTCTCTTATTCTTCTTCTCGCTTTTGGCATAGCGGGCCCCGACAGGAGGCCTGCACCACGGGCTATTAGCTCAGTGGTAGAGCCCGCCCCTGATAATTGCGTCGTTGTGCCTATACATATACAAATAATTTGCGTCCAATAACCCCGGGTTCAGAGAGGTAAATGCATAAAAAGGGGACAAATCTTAGCAGACGGTGCTGCTACAGTTGACGGCAAACTCAGAACTTAATTTCTTACTAAGAAAGTATTTGAGTTTTCATTTAAAGTGGGGGGGGGGGGGGGGTTCGTTAACTCAAAGAATATTGAATAATGTCAAAATATATTGTCAACTCTAAGGAATGCTTTCCATCCTACCTAAAATGCGTATAAATATAATAGGATAATTGATCACTTCCACATAAAATTATAGATTTTACATATATTGCCAAAATCTCAGATGCGTTGGGTCATCAAATATTTACTTGAACACAATATGGATCTGTATGTCACATCATGCAATGGAAGGAAAGAAATTTACCTGAAAATGACATGAGGTGTATACCTCTGCCCCATCAGCATATACTCTACAAGCATTGTAAATACCACTGTGGTCCTCCTAAGGGTGGTATACATTGGAACATTTACTCCACGCACAGACTCCATGGTGACTAGCTTTCAAGGGGGGAAACAGGGTGAATGAAATAAAAAAAAAGAAAATAAATAATAAATGAGAACTTCCCTTTCAAAAAAGACTAAGGAAGGACATACCATATAAAGTAAATATGCTCCGGCCAAAGGAAGAGTGTGCTTCAAAGTCTTCAATGGGACAAATTTTGTCGAGTTATCTCCTATAATTACTGACTCACCAGCTGTGAAAGAAATTATCCTCCAGCGCCTTAATATACAGAGAAAACAACACGAACATGCCATCTGCAGCAGTAAGAAGCTCAAAAGCATGTTTAAAAATGTGGAACAGAAAAAATGGAAATTCAGAACAATTAGATTGGTATTTCATAAACAACCATCTCATCTAAAAGCTCAAGCAATTAGGTGAAGACTACTTTAATTGTTTTATATATAATTTTTTTAACACACCCCTTTACGCAAAAGCCTTAAGGCTTGAAACGTGGACATTGCACATACCCATATTTTTTTTGTTCTATCTTATGCTGACTTAATTCCACTAGAAAGTGGGGGCGGTGAGGGTCAAACTCGTGATCCCGTAGCCATGGAGGCTCTGATATCATGATAAACAATCATCTCATCCAAAAGCTCAAGTTATTAGGTGAAGGCCGTTTTGATGGTTTTACATACAATTTCTCTAATAGTATTCAAATTGAAAGGCCAACGTGTCAACCAAGACATAGGCATCACATAGTTTCCAAAACATTTTATATTCAATATCATTTCTTTCTACCACAAATGCATGAAATTTAACTTTTGCATAATTGATGTAACTAAGTTGGATAATCCCTAATAACTTAGTAGGTAGAAAATCAACTCTTAGAATACAGGGACTATGTTAAATTGTTAGAGAATCTAAGTGTTAGTTGAGAAAGATGGACAAGAGCCCGGAAGAGCAAAAACGGAGGAAGAGAAGGTATAGTAGCAACATGAGAAGAGAGAAAGAGAGAGAGAGAGAGAGAGTCAACAAAAACAGCAATCAAGAATGCAAGTGTACAGAAGCACTGTCAATATATAGAGTAAACCTCCATGTTAATCCTCTAAAGATACAATACAAGCATCATCATTTTGGTCCTCCAAAGAATTTTGATATCAATTTAGTCCCTTTAATCATGGAAAATAACATCATAATGGAAGTTTACTCTATATGGCATTCAATCCTCAATGCCTGAGAGGTGAAGTATGAAGTGTTTTTGTTCTACAATTTTCTGCAAGAGATGCCTGAAATTCCTAAAACAGCAAATTTTTGGCATGCCTAACCATGGCTCATTAGAACCATGTGAACAATAAAATCACTTTGATGATGAAACAACCTACTCAAATACCAAAAAAATTTGAAGAGACCATCCATTCTATCAATATATTATGAGCCTGATCATAACTGAATTCCAACCATTTGATTTTGACCTTTGATAAATAAACGAGTCCCAGACCCTCGTTCCATTGGAATTCATACTGTTCAAATTTGAATTTTTTTAGTAAGAACAATTATAAAAGAAAATTTTGAAAAGGGGGAGGAAAAGATTGCTAGTGTTTAGCACAGTTTTTCTAGTTCTGAAAACATAGAGATAAAAAGAGTTTGTCAGTATTTAAAGAATGCATAATGGTAAAGGGGAAAGTTGACATGATTATTATCACCTAATTTCAAGACACATAGCTTACCAACATAATTCTTTAAGTAACAAGAACATACAGGAGAATTACAATTTGCACCCAAAATAATAATAATAATGAAAATGTAATCATCAAATCGGGGAAAAAAGAAAGAAAGAAAGAAAACCTCTGTAAGGATCAACCTGAAGAAGTGTGATGACATTTGCAGATGGGAAGTCATAAGATGAAAGAGCCGCCTTATTGAACATCACCAAGAGCACTACAAAGCAAAAATAGAGATCACTAAGTAATTGATCAAAGCCTAAACATGCCCAATCAATGAAACAGAGCTCTTACGCAATTCAGGTATAATTAAAGTATTAAACCCCCAGTTTAGGCCATGACTTATGCGGTTAGTTTAATTGGACAATTTGACGATAAAGATGAACCTAAGATTTCTAAAATTGGATAACAAGAGTGAGTTGAACCTGCACAGGACATGTAAGCAATAGCAGCGTATGCCCCACGTTTGGTGATGGCGGAAGCTCTGAAGATCTTATCATTATCCTTTAAAAGCCTCTCTCGGTCCTCCTCGTTCGGAGGATCCGATACCGGAAGTATTAGACTATCTGATGAATACGACGCTTTCAGAGACATTTCGCAATTATCAAACCCTAATGTCTGAGTCTCACCACTCGGAAGTTGACTCACTTCCTACACTTTTTCTCGCGCTCACAAAACACGCCGGAGTCTCTCCCTTCCGATTCCGATCAAAATGTATAATTAACTGACTGAAAGATATATCATTAGTTTTATAAAATAAAAATATCTTTTGTGTAATAAATTATCGTTGTGTGACTTTTTCTTAAATAATTTTATTTTTTATTTTATGAATTGCGCCTGTTTTCCTTTGTTTTCAATCTTCATTACAAAAATATTAACAATAGGAAAAGCTTTACTTCCAATATTAAAATGAATATTAATATATTTAAATTTTTGTTTACGTGTACCGTTAGACAAAAGTTAAGAAATAAAAATAATGTTTATTGTACTTTGTTAAATTATCTTAATTATTTTTAAAAAAAATTAAAGATTTGCACTTTCTATTTAATACTTTTATCTTTAATTCTTAAATTTGTGTATAAATGGTGCATACTAACAAATTCCTAATTAAAAATTAAAAACTTCGAATCCAAATTAATTATAAGAACACAATCCCTTACATGCATCTATTTCTTGATTTTAAAAATTTGTTAATAATTTAGGTTATACTGTCAGTTTTTAATAATTAACAAAAATAAAAATGAAAATGTCATAATATTATCATATAGTTAAGAAATAATAAATTAACACAATAAGTTTCTCATCTAAGGCTTTATGCCAACTCAATCGATTCGGCCTGTCATCAATTTTAAATTTTTTATTTTCAATCAGAAAAGTATATCGCGGGCTTGGTGTCCTGTTTCTGTTGAACGTTATCGGGTCGTTGGTTTTGTTCCAGTACCATTTTTCCACCATGAGACTCTTAATGTTCTAGATTAGGATCAAAAGCATTGGAAAAAAATTCACCTGCAATAATAATAAGGGTAAGAAAGCTAAAACGATGCCAAATTTTGTACCTGTTTAGTTGGACAACACGTAAATCAAAGATTAAAATGTCTTGCCTTTGTTCCCTCTAAAAATAAAGTTGTTCCGAATTGTTATGAGATATTAAACCAAGTAATCATGGTTTGCACGTAATAATTACGGTCTAAATATAGAGAATGTGATTTCACATTACCTTAGTCGGTGTTCTGGACAACTTGACAATCAGTGGGGATTTCAATTCCTGCTTCAGCTTATTGTGTTTTCACATGGTCAGATTTTTGAAGTTGAGGACATATCGGATACGGATACTTTAAAGGGATTATTTGATGAGTTCAACCAATTCAAAAGTACCAAGAATTGCATCATTGTGTTAAAGGATTATAATGCATTAACATTTGTTTAGTACCTAATTGTATTTATTAACTAAAACATCGCTTTGATATAATGATTTAAAATTTGAACTTAAACATGCCAAGTTTTCTTAACCTGTCACATCAAAGGCATAGCCAAGCTTTCTCTGGGAACTCAATCCATAATGCTTTGATGTATATCGCCATCCATCAAACATGAGAAGTGAGAACAGGACCTTCCCCCGTTTTACGAATAAATTTTTACTTGCATCCAAGATTCAATGCATTTGTCCAATTATTTACCGGGTCAAAAGTCAGATCCTTAATCGATTGCGGAAGCAAAACAGTAAAATGCAAAAGAAGAGAAATGAGGAAGCATATAGGTAATTTGTTTAATGTGGAAAAACCTTATTCAATGTGAAGAAGTAAAAATTCACAAGACACTGGTATACCAGTCAAATTTCTCTAGTCCTTCACAGGTACAATCAAACTTCACTTGATAATCTCAAACTTTCCTAAAGAGGTATCTTACTTCAAACTTCTCTCTAAAGGTATTCAAAATACTTTTTTGATATATTTAAATCTCACATACTATAAGCTTATATAAAAGAGGGAGATAATTCTAGATGTTTAATTATGGAGAAACATTGAATCACTCAAATAATGTGTTCCTTGAGCCTGACATTAAACCACTCAAGGGATGTGTCCTTAAACCTTGCACCAAAATAGAGTACATGCCAACATTAACGGAGGAACACCACCCAATATCATTTTTTTGATAGGTCTACAAAAAATATCACATCATCTATTTTATTTGGATAATGTGATACTTTTTTAGACCATCCATAAAAAAAATGAATGGCAGATACATCCAATAAGATTTATTCCCGCTTTAATTTGCATTTCTTTCACTCATTTAGATTCGAGAGTGACATCTTATCTGACTTATTAGTTTACATTTCAATTCAGATTTAAAAATAAAAAATAAAAATCATTTTCCAAGAGGAGTATCGTTTTCATTTTACCAACTCAACACCCAGACTTAACCAAGTGTTCGATATGGTGAGTTGTAAGGTGTGGGTGCAGTAAGCAATGCTAGGTAAAGGGCCAGCAATGAATCAGACCTATCATACATTTTGGGTCCTACTAGTTGAGTTTGCAACCTTCAACGCACGAGAACTAGATAGAACTGGTTCCAATGGTCGTGCGGGGTTCAGTGAACAACATAATTTGCCATTTGCTCTACACCATCACGTGGGCTTCTCTATTGGTAACCCTACGCCAATATTTTGGATCACATACCTAACTATACGATTTATGTTAGTTGCGTTGTCGAGCACATTTCATACAGGTAGTAGGTTCAATAGTGGAATAAAAAGCCAAAGCCAACAGAAAAAAAAAAAAATTAACATTATTAATTAATCGTTTAATTTTTAGTGGGAACAGATCAACAGATTACAGAGATAGCTAGGGGGGGTTTTAATTATATCATTGTTATTATAATCAAATAATCAATAAAGACGAAGCGAATATTTTCTAGCTAAGCGCATCAGTGGATACAGGGAGGTTGTGTGTGCTCTAAAATCATGACATATTGGACAATATGCTAACAATATCAATAGGTGCATGAACTATTAGTTTCTTTATTCCCTTTTTTTTATATTTTTCTTTTAAAGCTTGGTCTTTCATAATTAGCTTGCTTAGTTAACGGTATCTTGTTTGTTACAGGTTTATGGTTATTGGTTCAGCAGAGTATTTGTGATTATGATACAAGTTCACTATGATTTATCAGAATCAGAAGTAACTCGTGGTGGCACACAATTTTGACACTCGTGTTTGGATAGAAAGGGATTCCATTAAAAAAATATATAAGTTATTTCAATCGTGTCACACACAAATACAAGTTATTTCATCTGCTTATCTGTCTCTGTCTTATTTATCTTTTCATGGATGAAAGTTTTGTTTTAAGGATTACATTCTTCCTACAGTTTAATGAACCCAATCCTAAAGTCGTTTCAGAATGATCATCTTCACCAAATTATGGTCTGAATGAATATGACAGTTCCCTAAAACATTATATACTAAGTACAATAAACCCAGGCAAATTGAGAGAGAGTATATAGGTATACGTGGGGACACATTGGCAGGAAAATTGAGACCAATAAAGAAAGCAGGTAAAGTGGCAGTGGCACGTTGGTACTCTCATTCCTCAACTAGCTTATAATGCTGTTGCTATTTTAGCCGACCCAACTTCCATGCTGTCTCTAACTATCCCTGTTCCACAAGACAATAGTCCTTTTCATTCCTCTCCCTGATTCACACATGCACACACACATATATATATACATTTTCGATTCCCAAAAGTCAAAAAATCCCATTTACTTTGAGCCAGCTAAGTCTATATCTAACTTTGAAAGTTGTCACCAAATGATGGGATGAGAGTATCAGTTCGATCCTCTCTAATACTGTCTTTGGGAGAGATTTAAAGCTTTAACCTCTTCAGACTAGTCGATGAACCGATTGGAATATCTCAAAAAAAAAAAAAAAAAAAACTTTGGAAGTTGCCCAATATATATGTTCTCCTTTGTCTATTGTATATGCTAATTAGCTTCTTATGCTACATGGAGCTTCAGTTAGGTCTGCCCCTCCCCACTCACAATCCCATCGAGGGATTCGACCATAACAACCCTGCCTTAGTGAAGTCAAAACAGATTGTGAGTTTAGAATTATGGAGACAAAGTTGTTGTTCTGAAAGCAAGAAGCATGGCAAAAACAAACGTAGCTACGAAGAGTCCTTTGGACATTTTTCGAAACCTTTGCCTTTACTAGTTTGGAGCGGACAGCCAAACGAGGAAGATGACCGCAGTGAAAAGATGCACACAAACATTCACACATCAAACAAGTAAGTTGTGTTTCAACTTGTATGTGTTGGTGAACACCATTTCGCAACTCAAAATCTTAAGACATTAATTTTGATATTTTGAGTCCTTTTAGTTATATGGTCCTCACTTAATAGATTTAATCGATTAATGATACTTGAATTCCCAACATACAGGAACAACAAAGAAGAAAACCATTTGGTGGGGTGGCCACCAATTAAATCATGGAGAAAGAAAGAACTCCATCAGCAGCATCCTGCAGGAGGCCAGATCAGGAACAATAGGATGCAAGCTAATCAAAGTAGAGGATTAAACTCTTTATATGTAAAGGTTAACATGGAAGGGATAGCAATAGGAAGGAAAATCGATTTGAGGCTTTACAACTCTTATCAAACTCTTACAAACACGTTGATTAGCATGTTTGCTAAATGTAAGTGAGTAGTACTAAAATAAATTTCCCGTTTTCTTGTGTGGTATATTATAGTGGATTTGATTTTTGCTTTGGTCTCAACACATGCTATATATGCGCAGACCAAAAATTTGAGGAAGCAGGAGCAAGCTATACACTCACCTTTCAAAACGAACAAGGGGATTGGCTGCTTGCTGGACATGTTCCATGGAAGTATGTGAATATTTTGTAGTACATACTCTCATTGACTACTTTGTGCCACAGAAACTTAAGGACAATTAAGTTTTTTTTTTTTTAAAAGTTACAGAATACTATATTAGAAGAAGGTAAGGCATCCAAAGAATAACGTTTTTTTAATGATTATTTTGCAGATCCTTCATAGGTACGGTGCGGCGTTTGGCGATATTGAGGAATTGAAATGAAACTATTTGACACGGTTTATATTTTGTACTTTGATGTTGTTTATGTTGCTAGTTTCGGTACAAAGTATTTGCTTTATTAGGTTGTAGAGAGCAAGGGTAAAATAAAAAAAGTCAAATTACAAATAACTTGTTCGATTCTTTAACTAATAATTGTGTTTGATTCAATTACAAGTAACATAATCAAACTTTCAAACATCGACATTTGATCTTTTCTATTTATACAAAATGGCACAAATCTATGAAACTTAACCGAAATTTGCCCATGATCATGAAATTGAGAGATTATTTAAGATAACACTTGTTGAGTAATCTGCAAGGCAATCTCTACCTATAATTAAGTAGTTGGTGGGGGCTTATAAGGATGAGGTTGGACATGAAGAAAGTGTGAACCACTCACAGTCTTCCTTTGACCTTTGTCCTCCTTGAGATATTAGAATCCTGGGTTTAATATCAACCTTTTGATATTCACGTTATCAGAGTGTCAGAACATCACTTGATTGTCTGATATTTACTTAAACACACTCATCTCTTCCTTTGATCACTTGATTTCCTGGCCAGGTATCAAATTAGAGTTTCATGTCTATCATATTATAAAAAATAAAATTATCTACATATAGTGTAGGGCTCATGTTTTTTTTTTTTTCTCTCTTCTTTTCACATGACCCGTATATTTCTATATATGTGTAGAAGATATATATAATTATTTTTTTGAATATAATGAGGAGAATTAAATACATAACCTAATACAAACTACCTAAATCCCTCTTCACTAAACCAATCCTAATAGCTTTATGCAGTAAATCATTGTATCTCCTAAAACATGAGAAACATTAAACTCATTGAATTATGTAGATTTGCTTTTGTTAATGTAGGTATCTTTTTTTTTTTGGTAGTCAATGTAGCTATCTTTTAGTTTAAGGTAGTTTTGACTTTGAATTAAGGAATATGATGTTTGTCTTAATCTTAATACTGATGGATCAGAATCTCAATAAAAAATAGAAATGATAAATATTAGTTGAGATTCTAATATAACAATATTAAAAATAAATAAATTAGATATGAAAAATATAAATAGAATAACCAATCTCATAAATTAAATAGATGAAGAACTCGTTAACTTCGTTAGTTTCAGCCAAATGTTATAATGGCCCACAACATTAATGGTATCTTTAAATGAATTATTGTTCTGGAGTCTTAAATTATTATGTTTACTCTAGGAATAGTAAAGGTTAGAAATAGCATTGGATAAAGTCGATTTAGTAATCAAAAAATTAAAAATAAAATAAAGTTGATTTATTTTTTTATTCCAGAAAACGAACAATATGAATACAAATTGGTAAATTAGCATAAATAAGCAATTTTTTTTTCTAATACATTATTTATTAAATGAAGACATCGTATATTATAAGCATTTTCTCTTTGAATATACATTATTTACTAAATACATTTTCTCTTTGAATATAGAAATAAGTTATGTTATTAAACATGAGAAGAAGAGTTATATTTTTTTGTTTGCAAACTACACTATATACTATGGGGTAGTACATATTACTTAAGCAGTATTACCCGAGCATGTATTACCCGTAGTACATAGTGTAGTTTGTAAACAAAAAGTTTATAAATATAACATACTCCATCAACATATATATATATATATATATATATATATATATATATATATATATGAGGTAGGATCCTTTGACACCAGTGTCAAACTTGAAGTTTGAAACCTCATATGAGAGTCATTAGATCATAAAAGATCAATGGTGTCACATGCTTACAAATCAGAGTCATTGATCTTTTTTGATCTAATGGTTATCAGATGAGGTGTCAAAGGATCCTGCCTCTATATATATATATGGCAAAATCATTTCTACAGCAATGACAGATGATGGTTATGATTTCTCACATTTAATACTTTCACATATATATATATATATATATATATGATGTTGCACGTACAACAGCTGCATAAATATAAACTCCTATATATATGTGCAATTTTTTTTTAATATAAGTGTGAGACCCACTACTAATTGAGTCATAACATGAGAAAATCAAAGCTATATATATATGGATTCGCTTTTTCTGCAGTTACTGCAGATAAGTTATCTTCAGTAAGTCCAATACGACGTCGTTTTGGGATGGAAATCATGATGTTTTTGTAATTTTAGTTTATTTCAGGGTTATAATAGTCTTTATATTTATAATTTTTTAAGATTTCAATATCAAAACGACGTCGTTTTGGGAATAAATGCAGATAACTTATCTGCATTAAATGCAGAAATATTTTTTTCATATATATATATATATATATATATATTTTAAGGGTTTAAAGTTTCTAAAATTACTTGAGATAACTTTATCTAATATTCACTAAAATACACACAAAAAAGTGTGTGGGGTCCATGTGGACCCATGTGGAGAGAAAAAGAAAATATGAGTCACACATACTTTTATATGTATATTTTGGTGAATATTAGACCCATATAGGGTTTAATATATTTTCTGTCAATGGATATAACTTATATTCAGTGAGCCTTTGCAATTGAAAGATTAAAAAATTATAATGATAAAGATTAATCCAACCCTAGAATAAATTAGAATTACAAAAATATCTTACTTTAAATCTCAAAACAACATTGTTTTCAATTCACTTGATCACCGGAAAAACATTAAACTCTTATAATCTAAGGGTTTTATTTTTCTTATGTCACATAAGATAAATCTTCTCTCCTACTCTCACAGCAAATGGTGGGATCCACTTTATTTTTTTTAAAAGAAAAGAGAAAAAAATAGAGCACGAAAATTGAAATGAGAGTAGGAGATAAAATTTCTATTATGTGACATAAGAGAAATAAAATCCATAATCTAATAAGGTAGAATCGTCTTCACGCACACTTTATATTATGTGCTTGTTCCATAAGAGGTGTTTGTCTAATTCTTAGACAGCTATGATGGGCAAAAAAATTAATTAATTGCAATTTAAATAAAAAATTATGAATTTATTGTTGTTTTGAAACTATTTACGTGTGTATAGTATTATGTCATGTTCGGATTGGGCGTCATCAGTCACACCTAAGTTAGGTGTCACCCACAAGACACTCACGCCTAATTTAGGCGTGACTCGTCTGTTGTTGACATGTATAACAAAAAGTTAACAATTTAACATAAAATTTCGGAAGACCATAACTTTTGACTAGGGTATCCGAATCAGGTAAAAAAAAAATTATTCGACATAACTTTTTCGAAATCTACGCAATGACAGTTCATTTGGCATATCTTATCTCTCACAAACACAGTTCGAATTTGCAACAATGATACTATAAGAGCATTTAAACCCAGAAGCCTCCGAGTTGTTTTTGAACCAACACCAAACGCAATCTTCTTTTTAAAATGAGTAAATACATTTTTTTGTCCTCAAGAAAAAACACAGGGTCCATTTTAATCTCTTAAAATAAGTCGACTTGTGATCCCTTATAAATTCAAAATAAACCCAATTAGTTGATATTATAATCCCTCAGAAATTCAAAGAAGACTCATGTAATTTTTTGGCTCAAAAGTTCGAAATAAGTGATTTTTTTATTCGACATAACTTTTCGATATCTATGCACTGTAAGATTTCCAGATAATTATTTCTTAATGCTGGGAAGTAAAAATTTAAATAACATCATTCACAAAGATGAAATATGCCAAAGGTGAATCCAATTGCAGGCTTTTCATGGGACTCATAGATTCTTCTGGTGGACTTTATGCTGTGAAACATGCTTTGATAAGAGGGTTTGAGATGCTATATATGTTTCTAATAATGCATTCTTCGACGTCTGTAATTGTATAATTCACCTCAAACCCTCTTATCAAAGCATGTTTCACAGCATAAGAACATATTTTTAATGCAATATATTAAAAAATTTGTATTTTTTAATGCAACCTGAAGAACATTATATTCTCACCAATCTCTCACACTTTTATATTGTGGCACTTTCTTTTCTCACAATATTATACACTATTTTTTTTCAAACACTTGGTAGAAAATATATATTTTACTATGACATTAAGTATTCTTATTTATACATGGACTAATCTACTTTGGTGCCATCATTAATTTCAGACCACGACTCAAAAGATAAAGTATCATTGTTGCAAATTCAAACTATGTTTTTGAGAGATAAAAAATGTCAAATGAGGTATCATTGCGTAGATTTCAAAAAGTTATATGAAATCAATAAAAGAATTACCTGATTTGGATAGCCGAGTCAAAAGTTATGACCTTCAAAAGTTTTACGATTAAAGTGTTAATTTTTCGTGCCACTTGTCAACACCAGACGAGTCACGCCTAAATTACACGTGACACACTATAATACACGCGTAAATAGTTTCAAAACAGCAATAAATTCATAATTTTTTATTTAAATTGTAAATAATTAATTTTTTTGCCAAATAAATTGTGTTATCAAATATTATTTTTTCGTTTTTTCACCTAGAAATTCTTGCGTAGCACAGAAATTAAAATAAAAAATATTCTAAGCTTCCCGAAAAACTAGGAGTATTGACTTTGAAATTTATTGTTTGCAAGTCCAAAAGTAACCCGTCATTAGCAACATTTTATTTTCTCCCAGACTCCTTGCTCCAATTCTCGTTGATAATTGGTTGAATATTCATTGTTTCAGACTTTCAGTCTCTGTTGACATTCGAAAACTGTGTTGAATTCAATTCATTGTGCGTTATTCGTATTGAATGGAAAATTGAAAATGAAAAGTAACATTATTAAAATTTAAAAGTACTCTGTAATTATCATTAAAAACGATCACGGTGGGACTCGAACCCACAATCTCCCGCTCCGGAGGCGAGCGCCTTATCCATTAGGCCACGCGACCACTGTTGTGAACAAATACAATACAAATTAAAATCGTTATTAACTACAGGTGATAAGCATGGAACAAAGGATAATAAATTAATTAACATGTTTAAATTGTTTAAAATAAGATGAAATGAAACTTAGCAAGTGGAGTAAGA